AAACGATAACTCTGTGCAACAAACTGAATGTTATTTACTTTATTATAGAACTTTATTATCTGTTATTCACATTGCATTTTCATATTCTTATTTCACAGTATTTATTGTATTTACTTTATGTATGTGTCTGTGTGTGTGTCTGTGTGTGTGTCTGTGTGTGTGTCTGTGTCTGTGTCTGTGTCTGTGTGTGTGGTTTATGAATTGTGGAGGCTGAAGGTCAAGGTTAACCGTTTACACATCGGCGGGTTTCTTCAGCTTTGTAGGATTGTTCAGTTAAAGGTCAAGACTTAAAAAAAAAAAAACTTGTGTCAGGTTAATGTGCAAAATAGCACACATTAGTAGTGCAAAAATGACACAGGTTAAACTTTAATCAAAGGAGAGGCAGGAGCAGTTGAAAGTCTGCATGTGTTAGACAGGAAATGGAGCTGTAGTTTGAAGCTGAAGATGCAGTGTGCTTGTCGAATGTGGGTGTTTGTACAGGTGGGTCACATGTGTGTCCATGTAACGATGGCCCCTTGTATTTCAGGCCTGAGGAGTGGGCTTTTCAGCACACCTCACTCTATCCCTCATGTTTGCTTTGGTGTGTTTTGGTATGCTCCGTTTCATGTACATGGTACGTGGTGAAGAAATGATGTCATCTCGACAGCGTGACATTATATTGGTTTGACTGGAGCCTCTGCTGGCAGGTGTCATTTCCCGTCTGTGTGTGTGCATGCTTTGAAAGGGACATCGCTTTTCCTTAAATAGAAGTTTTATGTGTGAAGTGGCCTGTACTGGAAAATGTTGGGAATGTTGATATGGTGAAATGCAACGAGACACACGGGAGTATAATATATGTTGTCAACTCTTGTCCTACATCGTCAGAGCAGTTAGTGAATTAGCAAGTTGATCATATGAGTCATTTGAATTAACAATTGACTTACAAGTTGACTCCACGTTTTGATTTGCAAATTGTTATGGAACCATACGAGTAGCATAATTCATTTTGAAGTCTAATATGCAAAATGGCAATGCAATATCTTAAATGGCAATGTATTTCTGTATTTCAATTTACATTTTCCAAGACATATGTGCAATGTTTGGTGCAAAATGAAAATTAAATTACATTGTTTGCATTTCTCATTTCAAACACTGTTTTTAATATGTAAATTGTATCCACATTTTAATGCTTTAAAAGTTGCTAAATGAAATTGAAAATGCAATACACAAACTGAATTTGATGTAAATGCATTTACACTCACGTCTAGGGAACACAGAATTACATTTTCAGCATAACACCGTTGGATGTTTGTAGCAAAATTCATTTTGAATTGCAATACACAAAACGATCATGCAATATGTTCGGTAGCAATGTATTTCAGTTAGCACTTTCCAAGACATTTGTGCATAGTTTGCTGCAACATGAACATTTAAAAAAGAGAATCCATTTCCATTTCATACATTGCGACGAATGAAAGAAAATTTCACATCAGCTTTCATTCGTTGCGATGTATTAAATGATTCATGATTCCATATAAGAAACTTTTTGGCTTCTCAAAGAAACCTTTAGTGAAAACATTCCTTAAAGAACCATTTTTTTCATAGTGAAGAACATTTTAGAGTGTTTTAGGCCAAAAAAAATTAATAAAATAACCAAATCATCTAAGGACATTTGTGAAGTATTTTAAAAGTTACTAAAATATAATGTGCTATCATATAATCATCAAATGCTATTAAAATGAAAGTTTTGTCTGATTTTGCTCATAACTATAAAATTACCCCCAGATAATATTTCAAATGAATGAATAAATGAATCTGTAAAAAAGTTTAATTGTATTATTAAAAGAAGTGCTGATGAACCACAAAATGGTCTGAACTGATTATTCATGTTATTTTATAGTAGAGCTGGGCGATATGGCAAAAAATTTGTCTATCGATAATTATCCCGATAAATTTGAAAATGTTTATATCTATCAATTTTATAGGATTTTCAGCATACCAATCCCTTTGTGCAGCGGATTTAACACATTTTGTGAGATGTTTTAGCTGTCTGACAATGTAAATAAACTAAAAAGCAAAAGAACAATCTTAATTTAGCATTTACTTTTCAAGTTTTCAACAGCCAAAGACATTACAAGTTATTGGATATTATTGTTGAACATCAGAAAAAAAATAAAACAAGTTTGGGACAATTAAACGGTGAGTTAATGGTCACAGTATTTTCAGTTTCTGATGAACTGTCCTTTTAATGGTGAGTATGGTGAATTTAGGGTAAAATATATCCTTTAATATATTTCATTTAGGGATGCTAACAACTATTTGACGATCTATTGATTGTCGATAACGCTTTAATCGATAGACCTAATCGATGACTGATTAAGCATGGACATTTAAAAGTTAAGTTATGCATTGCGCTGTGAAACGCATCCACGCATTACATCATAAAGTGTGTGCAGTTTACTTTACTTGCGCTGTCACCCTCTTGACATCTCATATTGCGGATCTCCGTTATTTGTATATGCTCACCCTGTATTTGCTTCAACACTTGATGATTATCTTAGCAAAAAAACTAAGCATTTATTGTGTTAATATTGTAATTGAATGCATGTCTGATTAGTTTATGCTTTGAGGAAAAAGAGCAGAGCTTGTTTATCAAGATTTAACATCATGTAGTGATGGCTAGAAACTGCTGGAAGCTGAAGGTAGTGCAGAAGAGGGAGAGAGAAAGAAAGAAAGAGGGAGAGGTGTGGTGCTGGACATTCCCAGTGCTTTTCCGGTAAGGGTTTCCAGCGAGACCATGCCTGGTATGTCGGTCACAGCAAACCTGCTCTTGCTTCAAAGCATTTTACAAGCAGAACAGCGCAGAAAACGCCAGCCGTCACCTCAGTCTGCATGTGCTGGAACAAATCTATGAGCCTGGTGCTCTCAACGTCTGCTTAATTGTTTTAAATGCATTTCCGTTCATTATACGCCACATTCCCCCAGGACAAGACATCACCCAGATGCCCAAAAAAGGTGAAACATGTTCTGGGTAACAAAGGCTGTAATAATAATAAGAATAAAATGATGAATGACCTGTCAGTTTGGGCTTCGTCATCAGAAGTGGATGTTCTTTTATTATCTACTGATTTGAAGCCTTGCTGATTGAATATCTGTTGGCTGGAAGTTCTGCCTTGCCATTTAACTTCCTGTCCTTGAAGTATGCCTGTAGATCAAACCACTCAGGGTTTCAATAACAGGGATATTGTTTGTTTTCGTCCATGTCTTCATGAATAGATAAACATTTCCAAAGCAGTAACCAGATGGGATTAGTTTTCTAAATTGCTAAAATATGCTTAGCTGCGATTGTTTACATAAAGTGCCTGACTTATCTCTGATTCTCTGCATTTAATTTCATTTATTTTTGTGAATGTAGGCACTCTTGGCATTAGAGATGTCAGTTTTTACAAATGGTCATGATTGATCATCAATTGTTAATCTTAATTCAAAATATCTTTACTTCAGTGACCTGACAGGATGTACTAATGACACTTAAAACACAAGCATCCTCACCTAAAGGAAAAAGTAGGATATTACCAGTAAACAAAGGATATTGTGGAGAGTTTTATTAAACTCATGTTCTCTTAATTGTTATCTTTCATCTGCTGTACGTTTTGTATATGAGCCTCAAAACTGCATGTTAATGACGTCAATGCTTATTCTATCATCAAGTGCCTGGACACACCAAGTCGACGGCAAACTACTAGCATCAATAAAACCCAACCATGTTGTCACCTCGCATTGGATCATGTTTGAACCAAAAAAAGCTGCGCATGAACACACCAAACGAATGTAAGCTTACTGAAACAAGAGCTGCGTTCTGAGTCTGCACAAGAGGACATGTCTTTCCACTACAAGTGTTAACACTTTAGCATTGAGTACATTCGCTTGTGCAAATATGTCTGATAATCTAATAATCCATATTGTTTGCAACTATTTGAGAATTGTAGCGAAATTACAGCCGGCCTAATTGTTTTCCTTCTTGACTTAAATTGTTTACTTCACAGGTATCAAAGCCAGTTCCTGGAGAGCCGCAGCTCTGCACGGTTTAGTTCAAACCCTGCTTCAACACACTTACCTGTAGGTTTCAAGGACTCAATTGGTTTGATCAGGTGTGTTTAATTAGAGTTGAAACTAAACTGTGCAGAGCTGCGGCCCTCCAGGAACTGGCTTTGACACGTGGTTTACTTGCAATGTTACTTCACAACATCACACTCGCGCTCTTATTCGTTGCTGAATAGCCTGTCAAAAGGCTCTCTTCTGCCAAGGATCTAATGCCGAATCGACTGAATCAGTGAAGTCAATGAGTTCTGACGAGAGTCGATGTATTGAACACACCAAACCAACAAGCTGGACCGACAAAGCCCAATGGCTTACCATTGGCTTGGTGTGTCTCGCCTCTAAGGTGTTTTGATTTTAAATGATGACAATGATAATTAAGGATATATATAAAAAATAATTATTAAAATTGTACACCACCAACTTGTTAAAAATTCTGAACTTTGTATAACGATCGAATGCTGGCAGCAAAAAGAAAAAACTAAAAAACAAGTGGGCTAAAAAGGGAATTTTTTTCTCTTTTGTTTGAGCATTAAAGAGGACTTTTAGCTGAATCCATAAATATTATTTCATATAATGCAAGCCAGTGGTTATAATTAAGGACAGAAATTACAATTTTACACTTTATATAGATTAAGACTAGTAAAATATGTTGACAGCTGGGATACTGGTGAAAAATGTGAAAAAAGTGGTCAAGAAAAAGGATCCAAAATTTGATATAGCCTCAATGCATAAAAAGTTTTGTTGTATAGCTAATAACTATTTTTGCATGTTATTTGAAATAGTCTAATGTGTAAAAATGATATGAAAACAGTATATACTTTGCTTTACCTATTTGACTGTGAAGGAAAAACTACTTTTCATTTCATTTGCACTTTTTGTGAGTAAATGTCTCACTCAAGCGTTTTTCTTTTCTTTTTCAGGACTCCATGAATGCCCTGGTTTTAGATCTGGACTTTCCGGCCTTACGTAAAAATAAAAACATCGAGAATTTCTTGAACAGATGTGAGTATCTGCCTTTAAGGCTGCATTTACACTGCAGATCTTGGTGGTCATTTCTGATTTTGTGACTGTATTCGATTTTTTTGATGACCTGCTAACATCTTTTAAAGTAACTCTTATCCGATCGTCTGCATTTACACAGCACATGACACAGGCGCATTGACCTGAAAAAAAAAAAGAGCGGGCCCTGACTAACAGCTGATTAATAAAGAGTGCTCTTTTTTCTATTACTGTATGTCAGCTGTACTACTATAGTTTATGAAAGAAAGGTTCTCATTTGTCCATCTTCTTTTGGTATATAGGCTTTTGTAAACCTTTAGGCATTTTAATGTAATGTCCATGGTGTAATTTATGCACGTGATGTAGCTATGCACTAGTTTTTTTATTAGTTATATTGGCTACGTGGCGGACATTCTCTCTCTCGCTCTAGTTAACATGCTTAAATACCTGCACTATATGACAATATAAAAGCTGTTTAAGTCCTTGTGTATGAGATTTAAGGTTTGGGACTCTGCTGAAGTCTGTTTTGAAATGAGAGTGTCAGACTTGACGTCATTTGCTATGGTTTTTAATGACGCACGACTTGCATTGACAGGTGAAAATCCGATCTACTTGCTTACACTGCAGACACGAGAACACAAATCCGATTCATATCGGATAAATTTCCACAAAGGCCTGAATCTGATTTGAGTGAATCGGAATCCATTTGTGTTGTTCCTGCTTGCACGTACATGGGCCATATCTGATCTGTGCCACATGGGAAAAAAAAATTGGAATTGAGTCACTTGAACAGTGCAGTGTAAATGCGGACTAAGAGGCCACAGATTCTGTCTGATAGTTGTTCTGTGTTATTGTGTGGCTGAAGGAAATACTTAATGGTGGCATCATGATTTTACAATGAGGCCGCTTCCTGCTGCAACATCAACAACATTTATTTGAAATAAATTGTTTTGATTGGCTCTTCCTAATTTGAGCCCCTCATTTTACAACACTGAAGCTCATCACATAAATTAAGAGCTGTCAGCACGTATCATGAAAACTGTGCATGTTTGGTTTTGAAGAAATGGCTTGCAGGTTAAACTGCTGATTATGATGCAGTTTTAAAGCAGGAAGCTTGGATATTAAAAATATATTTCACCCAAACTTACAAATAGTTTTTATCTGCTCACTCTAGTGTTTATTTTTTTTTTAAATAATAATGGTTCTCTTTCTGTTGAGCATTAAAGATTTTTTTTATTTATCTGAAACTGTTGTCATCTGATCTAAAGCAAGTCAATGGTTATCTGCCATTTGAAAATCTAAAAACCTTAAGGGATACTTTACCCAAAAATGAACAATTTCTCACTATTTACCCACCCCCAAGTAGTTCCAACCCTTTCTTTATTCTGTTGAAAGCTTAAAACCTGTAACCAATGTTCTCCATAGTGGGAAAAAGTAATTCTATGCAATGGTTACCAACATTCTTCAAAGTATCTTCTTTTTTGTTCAACTGATGACAATAAAACTGTCAAACAGGTTTACAAGTAGTGAAGGAAGAGTGATTGTTACAAGACATTTTTGGGTGAAATATCTGTTTACCAGACAAAACAAACTTGACTACATGTGGGTTTTAGTGTTATACTGAGGTCTTTTGGAGGGAAACTATCAGTCTGTGCAAGAAAGTGAACTCTGAAGAAAGCCTCTTAAAACTTATTCTCACATACCTAAAGATCTTCTGTAATGTTCTATTGAAGACACAATCACTTGCATGTCAGATTGCCTGAGGGTGAATAAATAAACAACACATTTCCTTTTTTGGGTGTACTGTCTCTTTAAGCATCATTCAAGTTTGTTTGATACATGCATAAGCTATGATTCATTGATGGTGCTGAAATAATCGTACTTGAAGACAACTTTGGTAATTTCTGTGACAGCTGTGCACGTAATTTAGCATTCATTTTCTCTTCATGACTAATGTTTGATATTTGCTTCCATTCATTATCCTGCACCGTGCCTGTGTGAACACATCTGTGTCTGTGTGTTCTGTTCACGCACTATTAAACTTTTTGACGAGTTTTCACATTCTGTTCAGATTTGGTTTCTGATTCCCCCTGTTGTCATGGAGACCATATGGCCATATGGACATTATAATGTGTGGCTTAGAGGAGTGAGTGTGACTCAATAGTCCTCTCATCCAAACTCTCTGTGCTGGCCTTTGATAATTGTCGTTCATGATGGAGATGTTGCACTACACATGAATAATTATTAAACTCCAGCATTTATACTCAATATTTTTGAGTGCTTTTGTGAAGAAAACAACAGTGATTCATTGTTAAGGGCTGCACAATATTGGAAAAGTCTACCATTGCGATATTTATGTTTTTATTTTGTGATATATATATTGCAATATAAATACACCAGATGACTTAATATCTTTATTTGGAAAAAATAAGATGTTAGACACACTGATTCTCCATTGGAAGTGCATCTCCATAAAATCTAATAAACGATCTATAAATTTCTGTACTATTCACAGTGTATTTGCTGTATTTGCACATGTTGTGAGTATTTTCATGCATAACAATCTACAAATACAATCAAGAAAAAGATGCAACAAAAATAAAGTGTTTTATCATTTCCTGAGTCTAACAGTTTTTAAGTAATTAAATGATAAAAATACAAATAATTCAATAAAATAAAGCGTTGTTAAGGTTGCAATTGGTAAAATTTCTTATGCCTAAATGCTTTTAAAACCATTATACAGGCATCAAAAACGCATGCAAATGGTAAATTATAATACAAACTCAACATTGCATATATCCTGTGATGTGTCTGTTGTGAATAATCACATCACAATATCGATGCTGAATGATATTGTGCAGCCCTTGTTTAGTAGTACTCATCCAGTACTTTTTTTATTGTCAGTGGCTATATTTAAAAAAAAAAAAGAACATTACATCACAGCCTGATAATATAAATGTGTGTGTGTGTGATAAAAATGATAATATTTAGCACAATCAAAAGTTGGTAAGAATACGTACACAATTTGGTCAAAAAGTAACAAATGAAATAAAAAATATTGGACAATTAAAGGGATTTTTCAACCAAAACTGAAAATTTTTCTTTCATTTACTCTCCCCCAAACCTGTTTGACTTCCTTTCTTCTGTTGAACACAAATGATATTTTGAAGAAAGCTGATAATCATTGACTTCCATTGTATTTGTTTTTCCAACTATGGAAGTCAATGTTACATGTTTTTAGCTTTCTTTCAAAAGAAACTCAGAAATGTATGGAACCACTTGAGGGAGCGTAAATAGTCAGTGCATTTTCATTTTTGGGTGAACCATTACTAATGAATCATTTTTATTATTAACTGGTAGTTTCACCAGAAAAATAATACTATTTTGTCAGTTATGAATGATGTGACCCAGGTAATGTAGTTTTGCTGTGTTGTGTGTGCAGATGAGAAAGTCATGAACCATATAAGGGAGCTCCAGATGAGGCCAGAGGATTTTGACAGAGTGAAGGTGATTGGTAGAGGAGCATTCGGGGAAGTCCAGCTGGTGAGCAAACTCAATTTCACGATATTCGAATTTCTATTTGATAATGTAGTTCTTTCCATTGTGAAAGCTTTTAGTATTCAGTCTAGTGCCTTTTGTCTACTTCTTTTGCCTTTTAATATACTTCATTGCTTCAAATCAAAGTTTGTAATATTATGAATCCCCTTGTTTTTAACTGGTTGTTCAAATTTTTAATCTTAAAAGGTGAAAAATGTACTGGAAAAATGCCTATTTTCAATGAATTGGAAAAAAAAATACAGTTTTGTCTACTGGAAATAGAGATACTTTGAAAACCAGTCCACTGAATGCTCTGTTGTTTTATCTATCATTTCCTTGCTTTTATGTGCCAGATACAATATAAGACAGACTAGGTCATCAGTTAAATGTGATTTTTCAATCAAACACAAGAGAACCGTTTTTACCGGGTTTTTTTTTCAGTCAAATTAGCTGAAAGATGGAATAAAAAATCAGTGCATATTTAAGAGAGTACCACTTTTAATAATTTTAAAAACTGTTCTTGAAGTTTGGCTTTAAGAAAATCAAATATGTAAAATTAAACTAAAATTAAACAAAAAACTAATTTTTTATTTTTTTTATTTTTTATATTTAATTTTTTATATTTATTTTTTAAAAATATATTGTTTAATTTGGGTGATGCGGTGGCGCAGTAGGTAGTGCTGTCGCTTCACAGCTACAAGGTCATTGGTTCGAGCCTCAGCTTGGTCAGTTGGCATTTCTGTGTGGAGTTTGCATGTTCTCCCTGCACTCGCGTGGGTTTCCTCTGGGTGCTCCGGTTTCCCCCACAAATCCAAAGACATGTGGTACAGGTAAATTGGGTAAGCTAAAATTGTCTGTAGTGTATGTGTGTGAATCAGAGTGAATGAGTGTTTTCCTGTGGTAGATTGCAGCTGTTCACTGTGGCGACTCCAGAATAATAAAGGGACCAAGCCGAAAAGAAAATGAATGAATGAATGAATGAATGAATATTGTTAAATTTGTTACAGCTTGCCTGCCCAGGGGATTACACATGTAAATATTAGCTTTATAGCTAACTTTGGCGCAACATGTCATGTTGTACATTGTCCCTGTATAAATAAATGAAATAAGAATGAAATACAAATGCTTATTTCAACAAATTCCCATGAATATTTGTGGTTTTAAATTAACTTACAATTAGTCAATTAATCATCAACCATATCAATGCAAGATGCTCTGCAGTAATGCTACTTCTTCCCCAATCTGTTTAATCAAGCACAGTATTTTAGAGTTTTACTAAACTCAGATACGCTCTCTAAATTTTCTCCTCATATCTGCTGTGTCTTTTGTGCATAACCAATTGTGCATAATGATCAACAATTATCATCAATTCATAGTTTTTTCATCCCTTATGTCAAATAAAATGATACCCAGTCCTAATGAAGGTTTATAGATCCACTTTGGTGTAAATTATGTTCTCCTGTGTTCTATGCTATGTGTTAAATGTGTGCAGTTTTGCCACTGTTTTATTTAGTTCCTGTTGAATGGGACCCCTAGTTATTGTGTATGCCCATGTCAGATGTGTAAAAGCGATGAATCTGGCTGTGTGTTTGTGATAGTCAGGGGAGGATGCAGTGGGATGCGTCTGGACAAGCCTGCAGACACAAACAACATGATTACCCAGTATTCTCCTCTGTCAGTGGTGTGACGGGGCTGTGTGGGTGCGTTACGCCTAAAGCACAACAACAGAGAGCGTGCTTAAAAATGTGGCACGTCTGTGTCGAGGGCAGAACACAGCTTGTCTAATGGTTTTATTTTTATCATTTTGGGAGTGAGGCACAAGCACTGTCTGAAACCTAAAATGTGGTTTGTGAGTGTGTTGGTAATGAATTAGATCCCACAGGAGGTGTGTGTGATGTGGGTATGTTATGATGCGTGTGTGTGTCTGTGCAGGTTAGGCATAAGGCCTCTCAGAAAGTGTACGCCATGAAGGTGCTCAGCAAGTTCGAAATGATCAAACGCTCAGATTCTGCCTTCTTCTGGGAGGAACGGGACATCATGGCGTTTGCAGACAGCCCATGGGTCGTACAGGTAGGTTGTGCTGACTTTTTTTTACTAAAACTTGTGAATGAATGCTCTACTTATATGTGCAACAGTGTTTTTAACATTAAATATTAAATGAGTGTGCTATTTCCATATTTTGTGTTACATGACTACACAATATCTGCAATAGTCAACATTTGAAGAGGACTAAAAAAGTTTCTCAAAAATGTCCAAGACAAGAATGGGTGATGTTCAATAGTTTTTAGGACAATTTTGATAAAGGGTTTTGATCCACTTCAAAAATCCACTTGTTATCTTCTGTATGAATGCAATCATTTATATTTTTAATTAAAAAATAGTTTTATCCATCAAGGACCGATTAAATTACTCAAAAGTAACAATGAGTATGTTGAAATGGACACCAGTAATCAGATATTGATACAATTAAGACAATAATAAAATTAGGGGTACCATGTAAACAGCGATTTTTAAACGTGGTTTATGCTTATTTTAGTCACATTTTTAAAGTACAGTACAGATATGTAAACACCTTAATCAAACTATTACTGTTGTGTAGGATTTTTGCCACATTTTGCAACATGATAGTCTATACACACACAGCTGTTTGACACTATTCTCTGCACCTACTGAGTCAGTGAAAGACCACAGATACCTGCAGGGTTTTTTTTCCCCATGCGATGTCTAGTATCAAATTCCATTATAACAACACTCTTTCAGCAGTTTATACTTTTACACGGGGGCATGCATGAAATGTTCCTGAATGAAAGTGAATGTAGCAAATTGCAGTTAAAGTTGACAAATTAAAAATGAAATTACATGAAACTCCAGAGGAAATGTGGATGCATGCTTTGTGAGCCTTCCTGACTGAATGAATCAAATTCGCTGTTTTACACCAAGGCAACTCAGGGTGCTTAAAATAATTGGCATTGGGTGGGTTAAAAGCACCAAAACAAAGACAGTACCAGCATGTAACAGACATTTTCAAAGCAGAATAACTGACTTTAGCATAGTCAGTTTTTAGCATTTTCAGATAAACAAGTATGTTCACTTAGCATGTTTCATAAATATCTGCAAACATACTATGGTATTTTTATGCTTTAGAAGAGTCAAAAACTTACATACAGCACCTATAATGGGGCTATATTTATTGGTCTAGAATTATTATATCAGTATATCCCTATGCACACTCTGTCAGAATTTGAGGGTAATAAAAACAACTCCTAATATTTTCTCATTTTTTCCCCTCTTTTGTTTTTTCTTCTTTTTCCCTTAGCTGTGCTGTGCGTTCCAGGATGACCGCTCTCTCTACATGGTAATGGAGTACATGCCAGGTGGAGATCTAGTCAATCTCACCAGCACATATGATGTCCCAGAGAAGTGGGCAAAGTTTTACACAGCAGAGGTGGTGTTGGCTTTAGACGCTATTCACTCCATGGGCTTCATTCATCGAGACGTCAAACCAGACAACATGCTGCTGGACCGCTACGGACACCTCAAACTGGCAGACTTCGGGACCTGCATGAAAATGGATGGGGTGAGGGATCAACTGCTTTTTGCACAACCAAGGTTTCAGTAATTCTCAGGCTTGAGCTTTTTGAGTACAGGGATTTTTAGGTCACCCCTGAATGTAATTGCAAGTCAAATACCTTGAACGCATGCCAGTTCTTGTCCAGACTCATGAGAGCAAAGGAAAAAAATGTCAGCCTTCCTCTGATTTCTCTATGTGAGTGAGGAAGACCTCAGGTGGGTTCAGAGGTCAGAGGGTCAAACTGAGACTAAGAAGCGTTTGTGTTTTAAAAATCCTCAGCTCATGTTGACTGATGATTAAATGTGGCCAGATTTGACATTTGTTTTGGTTTTGTAGCTTGTTAGCATTGGTGGATGTGACCATAATGGTTCACCTAATGTGTTTGATGGGAATGATCTCACTCCCATGATGAATTGTGCTTTATTTGCAATAGTATAGGCCATTTATCAAGAATTAAAGCAGTAAATTCTCACTTTCTTTGGATTTACAGTATTAATTAATAGGTTTGCCATGATAGACGGTTTTGATGGTGATACCGGTTTTAAGACGCAACACCTGTGACATCACTTTTCCACCGTGACACCATCCCCAGATTTGTTTTTTTAAGTATTCGTTTTTTTTAATTAAATATTTATTTGAATTAAATGGGAAACATAATTCTAAACAATTTACTTAAGACAAGAGCATGCTCTATAATTATCATCTGAACATAGCTTCAATGCATATTTCATTTATCACATGAAGAGAACGAGAGGAGTCGAATTTACAAAAAGAGAATGGCGGACGATTGAGTGTCAAAACACAAAGCAAAATACTTTTCCTGACAAAGGTGGCAGGAGTTGGAGGAAACAACTAACTTATACACGCACTTTCAACACACATATACTTGATGTTCAACTATGGGTGGGTCGCGGGTAGATAAGATCAATAGCCATAAATACGCAACGCATACCCTAATATTAAAAATCACGCGACCATCATCTCACAATGTTTAATAACAAATATCTTTTTTTGTTATTAAAACAAGAGTGATTTAGCAATGCCGCGCCATTAATAAGTCAACTGCAGAGAAACAAAGCAACCATCGTGGCAACAGCCGTGAGCACTTTTTCCGAAGTTCAGGGGTCTGTTCTTCGTACCTCGCTTAAATGATCTAAGATTATTTGGCAGATCCTGGATCTTTTAATCTTGATAACTGATCTCTCGCTAATTTGGTTCTTCAAACAAGTTCGCGAATCAGATTAGAATGTCTGGATGAACTGATCTGAGATCGCTGCGTGTGTTGTGAAGGACAGATCTATCGATCCTCGAAATCATGATCAGCAATGCAATGATTGGCTGACGGCACAGCAGCGTAATGACATCATCTGATTAATATTCAATTATCCATGTGAGCAAAATTACATCAAATTAGCAGTAAACGGTTTGTTTAATATGACACGCAAGAACTTTCCACATTTGTTGTGAGCTGCAGGCTTTACACTTTCATTTGTCAAGACAAGAGTATTCATCATGCATTTCAATGCAAATCAATGTATTTAGTTCCACATTTAGAAAAGATTTTCTTTATAATAGTATCCGTTTTTTAATCGGTGTAAAGAATAACTGGTTGTTTACAAAAGCATTTTCATATTGGTAAAGGTGTCTGCAACTTTTGTGAAGCATCAAATCACTGGCATAACTATCAAAACATGTTTATGACTGCATAAATGTATTATTGCTTTAAAAAAAGTCACATATTGTGCATTTCTATTATACACAATTTGTACTAAAGCGATCTAAAAAGTTCATATCAATAAGTTTTCTCTTTGCACCACCAGATGGCAGTCTTTGTACTTTCATTTCGAGGGTGCAGATTGCATACGTTTTATTAATATGTATAACTTTATTTATTTTATTAATGACTTTAACTTTATATAAATACATAGTTTAAAAATATGTACCATTTTCCCAAGTGTATATAACTACTACTGTAAGAAAATATCAGAATTGGGAACATACTTTCTGTATTATCTTTGCTTGAACTGAGCCGATCTAATCCTGTTTATATGAATTGAACCTGCTCCCGATCAGGTTTGACCTAGCAGAACTGTTGCCATGACAACAACTCTCGGATCAGCTTTGAAGAACGAAACAATCCTGGATCATGTCAAATCGTCAATATCCAAATCCAGCTAACTGAGTAATCCACGTACGAAGAACGGACCCCTGCTGTTCTTTTTTGCACTTGATTATTATGCGTTTAATGTTAAAAAAATCAATAATGAATAGGCCGACAAGAGTGTAGGCTAACCTGTGTGTGCGCGCGTCTTTTATCACTGAGGACGCTCTCTTCAAAAACCGTAAGTTGCTTTGTCTGTCTGGCAATATTTCGGCTTTTAATAAATGAAAAGTTAATTTAGACACCAGTTTACAGCATCCACTTAGATGATGCAACGGCAGCTACAGGACACGGCGCCAGTGTACTTGCCACACACCAGCTATTGGTTGAGTGGACAGAACGTGATAGAACCAATTCAGTGGATGGGGATAATTGGGAGGCCATGATTGGTAAGGGTTGATTGAGGGAATTTGGCCAGGACACCGCGGTTACACCTCTATTCTATATGAGAAGTGACATGGGATTTTTAATGACCACATCTCATCAGAAAGACTGCAATCACTGACAGTATAGTGTCCCCTTCACTTTACCGGGGCATTATGACTCACACAGACCGCAGGTTGAGTGCCCCCTGCTGGCCTCATTATCACCACTTCCAACAGCAGCCTACTTTTCCCATGTGGTCTCCAATCCATGTACTGACCGGGCTCAGCCCTGCTTAGCTTCAGTGACTAACCGGTCTTGGGCTGCAGCGTGTTATGGCTGTGGCAATTGTATGGATTTGTTTTGATTGAAAGTCAGGGTTATTCCACCAAATTTTGATTTCCTTACTCTTTTGAACATTAATATTGTCTTGTCTAAATACATGTCTAAAACTTTTTAATATTAAATGCTCTAAATAACATTTTTTTAAATGTCGTCTGTAGTTGAGAGAATCAACCAAAAATACACAATTGTTTCCAACTGTTTCCATAGCATAAATAAAATGGAATTTCTGTAAAATCTGTATGATATAAATGAATGTATAGTTATTTTCTTATTATTTCTTTAATATGACTTTAGATTTTAGCCCTTTAACTGGGATATAGATTATCTTATAATGTTAATAGTCTGTTATTTATTTAAATATTTTTAAGTAATTTGTATGACTGTTAACTGAGAACCGCTCCCCTTACTTTCTAGTTGAGCCACTGTGCTTAACTACCACCATATCAAAGACATAAGTAGCATAATTGTCAAGAATATAATAAATAAACACTTGCAATGATTGTTTACATTTACGTGTTTTGAATGTTCAAATGAGCTATTCACTGAGCAGCAATCACCAGAGATGGTAATATGTGATAGTTTGTATGCTTAACTCAACTAGATAGTCCTAAAATAGACTGTTATGAAATGCTTCACGTTATGTAACAGATACCAGCACATGTAAATCATTACAGGAGCTTGCTCTTTTTTTTGCTCTACTTTTTACATATCTGGGGCATTTTTGTCAACTTTCATTGCTAGTTTTTCCACTCAAGTCCTAGTTAAATTCTGTCTGCCCTTGAGAGTCACAATCCAGCCACTGAAACGAGGCTGGACACACTACTTGTGATTTTATGCTGCTATCTAGAGTTAAGAAATAGAACTACACATTGATAAGATTTTGGTGCTGTATACAAATTGAATGCTACGTTTTTGAGGGTTAAAAATGGCTTGATTCTTTGCAGAAATAATAGATTGAAACGGCTGATGCCTTTGAATAACATAAATGTGAGTTTTAAGAAATTAAAGAAAAATTCATTCACCTTTGCATTTAAGCAAATGTAATATGACTAGTAATCTGGTTAGAGGAGTGTGATTTTGGAAAAAAAAAAAAACTTGCAACATTAAACATCTTTATTCAACTCATAATATTACAACTAGTAGAAAACTTGTTTATAAAGTACACTCACTCAGGGAACTGTTCAGTAAAATTTTCCCTGAAAAGATTTTAGAATTTATCACAAAATTTTTTAATTGATCTATTTTTCTACCTTTTGTTGTGTGTTTATATTGCAATAAAGAACCAAATGAACCATTACTTTTATTCATTTAAACAAGTACTTTAAAAATCAGTTTGATTGAATGATTCATCAACACTCATTTGTTTCACTACTGAATAAAAATGCATTTGTTCTTTTACAAATGATCTATTGGTGAATTCATTAATTTGCTCAATGTTTGGAACATTAAAAATACAATACTGTGTGGTTGAAAAGACTGAAGCTGTTTTATAATTGTACATGACTGCTGCTATCTGATCTTTCAGATCTGTATCCTCTGCGGTGATGGTATTTGTCAAGAGTTTTAAGACCTGGCAGCTCTAGTACATTGTGTATATTACACTAGTATAGATAGACAGTAAAGCTCATGTTTTGACTTTTTTTTTTTTATTGGCTGATTGATTACAGACAGGGATGGTTCATTGTGACACCGCTGTAGGAACCCCAGACTACATTTCGCCGGAGGTTTTGAAGTCTCAGGGAGGAGACGGATACTATGGTCGCGAGTGTGACTGGTGGTCAGTGGGAGTGTTTATCTACGAGATGCTGGTTGGTGAGTGAAAAGTTTTGAATATGTTTGTGTGTATTACTGTTTTTCTACAGTATGCTGTGGTATTGACTTAAATAAGGTGAATGTTTGCAGGTGATACACCGTTCTACGCTGATTCTCTTGTGGGGACATACAGCAAGATTATGGACCATAAGAACTCTCTCAACTTCCCTGATGATGTTGAGATCTCTCAAGAAGGCAAAAACATTATCTGTGCCTTCCTTACTGACAGGTGAGACTTTGTGTGTACTATTTTCATAAGGATGATTAGCTGCCAGTGCTCATGTGTTTGCCGATGTGACTGCTGATTCCTGTGTTTGGTAGGGAGGTTCGCCTGGGTCGAAGTGGTGTAGAAGAAATTAAAAGACATCCTTTCTTTAGAAATGACCAGTGGACCTTCAGCACTATTAGAGAGAGTGAGTAAATCTCCTGATCCCTCCATCACTAAAGATGTTGAGAAAATAAAAAGAAAATAAGATTTGAATTCAATTAGGTTATATTACGTAACATAATTTACCACACTTGGGTACACAAGGCATAAAAAGGTGGAAAAATGTCTGATTTGAATGAGATTAGGACAATATTCTGATTGTCTACCATGTTAACAGCGATTTTTGATTAATTTAATCCGATTAAGGTCATAATCAAAATAACAGAAATTGGATTAAGACGTGGAGTATGCTGATTTTAGTCACATTATTGAAGTGCAGTACAGACATGTAAACACCTTATTCAAACTATTACCGTCGTGTAGGATTTTCACCCTATTTTGCAAAAGGGTATTCCATACACACACGGCTGTTTGACTCGGTTCTCTGCACCTACCGAGTCAAAGAAGGACCACAGACACGCACACAGTGTTGCAAACTTAGCAATTTAGTTACCAGATTTAGCAACTTTTCATATTACCCTAGCAACTTTTTTTTTCAAAAAGCACCTAGCAAAAAATTTTTAGCAATTTTTAACATTCATTTGGCTACTTTTACCAATTTCTAAAAAGTGACTCAAAAGAGCAGTGGCTGCAGGCTTCACTCAGTAGAGTAAATCGCTAGCTCAGATTGTTTTTCATAACTGTTAATTTACCGATATTTGTTACCATGTATAACTGTTAGTAATTTGGGTAGCAATAAATTCCAATAGTGCTATAATTGTTGTCAGTTGCACAAATGTGATTATTTCACAAGTTAAAATAAGTACACAAGCTTCGATTATTTTTAAAAGAATGTAACTGTTCGTTATCTGTGTTATATTTAAAAAAAAAAATTCTTATCAAAAAGTGTTACACATTTTTTACAAATAGTCAACTATATTATTCATACAAATCTTAATGGACATATTTCAAATAATGTTTTTACCGAGATGGCCAGTCAGTTTGAGAAAACATGAATTATTTTGTATACTACATAAACGTAGTTTACGCAAAGTAATATGTTAATAAGAATCTATTTATTGTGCATCTGGATGTATTGTTATAATATAATAAACGGCACCACAGACTGTGGAGACATGATTGGCTTACGCTTGTCAGATACTACTTGATGACTGATCACTGATATGCAAATTAGCGCAAGATGTCATCTGGCAACATTTAGCTACTTTTCGGGCAGGCATCAATTTCCATTAAGACAACACTCTTCCAGCAGTTCATATTCACATCTAATATCTTGTTTGTCATGGTAGACATGCATGAAATGTTACTGAATGAAATTGAAAATGCCAAACTGCAGTTAAAGTCGACAAATTAAAAATGAAACACTCGAAATAACATGAAACTTCGGAGGAAATGTGGATAGCGTAGTGATGCAATGACGTTAATCGAATTATGTGCTATAACATGCAAAACAGTGTCATGAAAGGAACATTGAAAAAGCAACTCATGTGAAGACCTTAAGCATATTATTGTCTTATTCAGATTAAGGCAAATAATTCACTTACTGATTACTACATGTAGACGTAGTCATTGTTAAGAATAAGATTTAACTTTAGAGTTACTTACATTTAAAGTTATAATATTTTAAAGGGATAGTTCACCCAAATATCATTCACCCTTTATTAATACGTTTTGATAAAATTCATTGAACAGCAAAACAGTTCTTTAAGTGATCCCTATATGAAACTGACATATGGCAAAATAAATACATATTTAAACTATTTCAGTTGTATTTCAATGTGTTAATCTATGAAAACAAACCTAACTTAACTGAAATTGGAAATAGAAAGCCAAATGAATAAGATTTTAAATTCATATAATATTTGTTAATTACACTTTTGTTCACTGAAAGTAAAGCAAGACTTTAACAGTCTGGTCAATGTTAGCTACATCTCTACCCTTTATCTCAGCACATATAAATGCGCAATTCAGTTAACTTTTAAGCTTTTCCCCTGTTCTGTCTTCAGCTGCAGCTCCTGTGGTTCCAGAGCTGAGCAGTGACATAGACACCAGTAATTTTGATGAAATTGAGGAGGATAAAGGAGAAGTGGAGACCTTTCCCACACCTAAAGCCTTTGTTGGGAATCAGCTGCCCTTTGTGGGATTCACCTACTTCAAAGAGAACCAGTAAGAGATGTCTTAACTTGCTTTTGTGCAGTAAACCATTTTTTTGGTACTATAATGACTCTGCATTTAATGAGCTGAAGCCAAACCAATTGGTATCTGCAATTACAGATTATCTGATATGTTTGTGTGCAGGTTGTTGAATGCTGTGAACAGTTCAGCAATGAAAAATGACCACCCAGTATCTAACAGAGAGGTACACTGAAACATCAGTTTCTTTTCATTTTTCATTTCCCCTGACCAAAGAAACCAGAACAACAGAACTACAAGTGTGAACACCCCCTAATTTAGTCTTTGGATTGACCTTATGCTGTAGAGACTTTGCTTGTAACTATTTTCTTTTTCTCTCTATTTTTTTTTAATCCACAGGACAATTTAGCCGTAAGTGTTCCCCCTCTCTCTGCCTAAAATTCAGCTTAAGTAATTTATGGTTTGCAAATTCAGTAAAGATTGCCTCATTTTTCACTCAGCTCCAGAAGAAGCTTCACTGTCTAGAAGAGCAGCTCAACAATGAAATGCAGGCCAAAGATGAGTTGGAGCAGAAATACAGAAGCAACAGTAACCGCCTGGAAAAGATCACCAAAGAGCTCGATGAAGAGGTGAGTGCGTGTTTCATCTCTGAGACCTCTGTGAAGTTGCATGTGGGAATACTTTAAGCTTGCTCTTGCGTGTTGTAGATGAATAGCAGGAAAGGTCTGGAGTCGACCCTGAGACAGCTGGAGAGAGAGAAGGCTCTGCTGCAGCACAAGAGTGTGGAGAGTCACCGCAGGGCCGAGAGCGAGGCCGACCGCAAACGCTGCCTGGAGAATGAAGTCAATAGTCTGAGGGATCAGCTGGATGAAATGAAGAAGAAGAACCAGAACTCGCACATCTCCAACGAGAAGAACATCCACCTGCAGAAACAGGTTTGTACGTCTTTTCAGCCCATGACCCACTAAAATGAAGCACACACACCAATAGGCCAATATAAACATGAGCATTTTGATAAGACAAAATTAAAAAGATCCAACTGTCTAGCAACTATGTAATTTAGTCATTTATTCATTTGTTTAATTTTAACATTAACCTCACCTTATTAGATTGCTGGGCACAATGTTTGGAGCACAATGAGTCCATTCTGGGTTTAAGATTCCTCCATGTTCAGTCATAACCGGCATTTATTTTTAATGTGAGTTCAGAAAAGGGTAAAGTTTAATATAATCTGGAGTGGGATGCATTAGAGAGTAATAAATTGTATGAAATACAACCTGAAATCTCAAACAGACTAGATTTGATCAAACGATTTTTAGCAGATGACGTATTGGACATACAAGAATAACTCATGGCTTTTTGCTGAAAGGGTCACGAAACACTAAAACACGTTTATTGAAATGTTGACAGTCATATGTGTCTCACATTGCTAAAAACATTATTAGGAAACATATATTCCACAAAAAGTGAAAATTGGTTGTTATTGCATTATTTTGAGCAAATTTGATCTTCCGATTTGAAGCTGGGCCATGAGATCCTTATATAAATTCCAGCATGTAGACTGGCTGTCTGTCTTTGAGTATTCAGCAATAATTCATGAGAAAGACTTGGTTCGAACCAATCGCTTCATTGTGAATGTGGTGCAACTTCATTAATATGCATGATATAGCTTCAAAGATTGTTTTTGCCTGTTATAATGTTCAGACAGCAGAGAGACGCCACGTTGAGTTGCCAGCCTTAATTATAAACAAGTGGAAGAAGAAGAATTGTTTGGAGACATGGGTCGTCAGTGTTGCCTTTATAAATGTGCCGTTTTGTTTCCATTTCACCCGCTATGAGATCGCAGCTGGACTCACGTGTGGATTACAGTGGTCAGCTAACATGCGACAAAAATATGTTTGTAAGGAACATTTTTTACCCAAGAGCTTTTCACATATGGAAATCCGGAATTGCCGCTCATCTCCTTTTAAAAAAAGACGCGGTTTCAGTTGGTGTTGGTGTTTCGTGGCCTTTTAAAGGTGAAGACGTCGCTCAACGTTTGTTCTGCACAACTTCATTTACAGTAAAGCACATTCTACTGGACTGTCTTGCTTTTAATAATTCCAGAAGAATTTTTTATGAAATCAACTCTCTTAAGGAAAGTGACAACAGGAACATTTTTTAGAAATTGTATCATGTATTAACGCTAAAAATCGTATTTAATTTATGTTTGAATTTGTTTGTTGTTTTTAATTGTATATTAATTATTCAAATGTTCTTGCCATGAAAATAGCCTTGGTTACTGACATGGCATTTTTGCAAGTGCATAAAATTGTTGTGTGCGATCAGTTTTTACTGCAAAATGTTCACCACATGCGCGGATTTGGGAGACATTCATGCAGAATGCATCTCTGCACTTGAAACGCGAAATGCAGCGCTCAGGAATGGTTTCAAACAGTTGTCATGTCAACTTGCTGCAGTAAAAAAAGCCAAGTCCGTAATGCTTGCCCCGCCTTCGCGCTCTTCTTATTGGCCCACTGCTCTAGCACTGAAATATCAGCTGTCAATCACTCAGTCAATGCCTTCAGGCTCGGTATGACAGGGAGAACTGTAAAGTGCTGAAGATGAGAATGAAGATAACACTGACATATTTTGTTTTAGAAACCATGGCATTTAAAGTTACAAATAATGACACATCTTAGTAGTGATCATGTGCTTTTAAAAAAGCACATGATCCATCTACACCATCTGATCCAAAAACCATCTACACTTTTAAAAAAGTTTTAAAAGACTTCGGTTGGCTTCAAGTCCGCTATGAAAAGTCTGTGGGATGGAATTTTTAGGTAACTGTTTGCCACATTTAGCACGAGAACTTCTGTTTAATCCTTCATATAATCGCTAGATGCTGTCTGCTGTGCAAGTGTCTGCTATATGTAAAATGGAACACCACGTACACCATCGCAAACAGGCTTGCGCCGAGAAAACTTATTGTTACTCATGAAGACCGGTATGGCTATTAACATGACGTATGCATATAATAAGGTACAGTATATGACAAAAACATCAGTGCAGTATCAGACAGCACCCGTGAGAACAGCACAGTTATACCGTTAACAGATTCATTCATGTCAAGCAGTGCGTGCAGGGCCGGTGAGCGCTCCAAATATTTTTTGCTCATTTAGTTATGTTATAGAAATGTATTTCCTTGTGATATCGGGATTTCGTTGAGACATATTTTCCTCACGCTTGCATGTATATTTTTTTGCTTATTAGTTTAATTACTGTAGATTTTAAATGCAATAAATCTGTTTGTATAAAACTTGTAGTAACGGTGCTTATAAGTGCGACTAAATATTGGCTGATGCGCCTACATTTTTAAAGTTAGGAGCACCGGTGCTACCGAGCAAAAAGCTTAATTTTGAGCCCTGTTAAGATATGGTAATTCTAATAGTTTGATAAACTTTATTTGATTTTTGGAAAGTGATATACTGGAAAGTGGAAAATTTATTTTTCTATAGTGATAAGTAGTAATTTCCCCTTGGCAAACAAGTGTGTCTCTCTTTGGCAGCTGGATGAGGCTAATGCTTTACTGCGGGCAGAATCTGAGGTGGCCACACGGATGCGTAAAACTCAGACGGAGAGCTCCAAACAGCTGCAGCAGCTGGAGGCGCATGTAAGAGAACTGCAGGACAAATGCTGCATGCTGGAGAACAGTAAGCTCACGCTGGAGAGGGAGAACATCAGCCTGCAGGCCGCACTGGACACAGAGAAACGAGAGCAGACACAGGGATCCGAGACCATCTCTGATCTACAGGGTGAGTGTGTCTGTCATGGTTTTCATGTGTTTTATTAATTCACATGCAACTGTGGTTACTAACTTTCTGCTTCTAATCCGTAGCACGAATCACTGGTATGGAGGATGAGGTGAGGCAAATGAGGCAGGCCCTATCTAAGGCTGAGACGGAAAAAAGGCAACTTCAGGAGAAGCTCACAGATATGGAGAAGGTAAATGCATGCAGACATTTTTTATTATAGGGAATTAGTTGCACTTGACTATAAAATTCCTTTCACAGACAGAGTTGAGCCCAGAAAACTACACTAAGCCAAAATTGGATTATTAAGAGAATAAAAACACAGATGTGTAGAGTTCACATTTTATAGCCCTATATAACACCAAACATTTATTGTATGGAATTTAAAGTATTTAATGTCATTATGTCATTTTCTGTATATGGTCAATTTATAAACACTGACAGTAATGGATCATTTATGAAACTTCTAAACATGTGTTCATGTTTGTCTCATTCCACAACAAAATACAGTATTCCGAACAGAAAAAAGGAATAAAGCACAACTCTATTTCATGTTCTTAATCTCTCCCTTGTAGGAATATGCAGTATACTGTAATTAAGTAGTTACATATCAAACTTTTTTTTTTTTTCTTTAAGCTTTTGACAGCAAGTTCCCATCCCGCAAGTCTTTTGTTGAGTGACTGTCTTTGCGAATTTTATTGAATTACTGGCTCACTTCATTTAAAAATAATAAATTGAATCAGGAAAAAAACACTTCCCTGAAACAAAGATGATTTGCTTTGATGTTTTAATTGGCAAAACAGAAGAAAACAGCCAATAAGTGTAACTCACTCAATAATGCTAACTTTATTTTTTTTTAAACTGTAGTAGAAAATATATAGTACTAGTACTATACTAGTACTAGTATTAGTGCACATGTTCACATCCTAATTTTATCCACTTTTGTTCGTTTGAAATAGCTTTAATGCTTTTGCATTAAAGGTGTGTTTTTGCTTATTTTTATAAAGTGAATGAAATACAGTGCTCAGCATATATAAGTACACCCCCACAAATTTCTCAATATTTTCTATAAGATGCTTTACGAAATTATATTTGTGCATATACATTAGTTCAGTATGTACTGAAGCCAAATCTGGACCTTATCTAACAGAATAACTTACAATAATGTTATTATCTATATTCACTGAGAAATGGATCAAAATAATTTTCAAAATGGGGATGTACTTATCTATGCAGAGCACTGTGTAAATTAAAGGCACAATTATTACCCCTCCTGTGAATTTATATATTTCCCAAATCATGTTTAACAGAGCAAGGAATTTTTCACAGTATTTCCTATAATATTTGTTTCTTATTTGTGCTCTTTTTTGGGGGGTTTTCGGCTACAATAAAAGCATTTTTTTCTTTTTTAATCCATTTTTTAATCCAGTGATATTTTTAATCAATTTTTTTAAGCAATATTTGTTTTCAATTGTCTACAGAACAAACCACTGTTTTACAATGACTTGCTAATTATTTAGGAGGGCTAATAATTCTGACTTCAACTGTATATAGTGCAGAGCATAAATGAGTACACCCACTTAGTAAATGAATATTTTCATCCATTTCTCAGGGAATATAGCGATGAAGCTATATTATATATAATCCGGTATATCGAAAAATGGAAAAACAAAGCGGAACAAGACTAATGTTGCAGCTTTTCTGTTGTTAAAGAGACTGACCTGACATTTGCGCTTGTGGAGAGATATTAAATAAGTGTATTAGTAGATCAGGAGGTGTTTTTGTAGTGAAAGTAAACCTAGAGATGATTGAAATCAGTTTGTAGGTAGCAAACCTCTAATATTTTTGTTTGCTCAAAATAATAATAAATAGTGTCATTAAAATCATTTATTTCTGTATTTATCATTTATCAAAATGTAAATATAGTATATCAAAATCTTCATTTAATTTTCTTTCTAATTTCTAAACTTTAATTTAAACTATGATGTACAGCAATAAACTAATGGCATATTTTTGTCATGTTTAAGGCTATACAACTTTGACGCTCCTTTTTTCTGAAATATATTATGCAACTTTAGCCAGGCTTTCACATATCTGTCTGTCTGTCTGTTTGTCTGTCTGTCTGTCTATCTGAAGGGTTCACATGCAAAACCCTCCATCAGACCTCTTTTCTTGTTAACGAGCATTTTCTATCAGGCTCCTCTGATAAGATTCAGAAGTTTCATTTTTATATGTATTGATAAGGTTATTAGCAAGTAAATAAAACACCTTTTTTTTTCTTTTTCTTTTTAAACAAGGTTATTTTTTTATTTTTTTTATTTATTTATTTTTTGCAAAAACCTCTAAATCCACCTATTGGAACAAGACAATGTAATTAGCTGAAAAATCACTAAAGATGTAATTAGAAATTATTTTACCAAACATAAAACACATTACACAAACCACCGGAAATTTAAAATGTATAGATCTGTCAAGTAAGTGGCGGTTCATTCCACTGTGATAAACCAGTGACTAAGCAGAAGAAAAATGAATGAATGAAATCTGTCAAGTAAGTGCATTAATCAATAACATTAAAACTGACATCAATCTTAAATCTTTATCTTTTTAAAAATAGCTTAAACTCGCAAATAAAACACAAGATAGGCCTACTGGGCAAAAAGGGGATGTCTCTTAGATAATTTTAGAAGCTGTCAGTCATTCATTTGCAACGTACTTAAGGTTTTATTCTCTTGTTTATCCTCATAGCATCCACATGGGATAAAAGAACCACATCTTAACTTTGTCTTTCGTGAAACACAGTTGCCGTTTAATGTATATCAAATCGGACTCATTCAAAGTAGCTTCTCTGTGCAAAAAAACGTTATGAATGCATGTTACACCTTCGACTGCACATTGTGTTTTTTTTAATAATGCACAGTTTTGAAGTAAGGAAAACATATGATTCGATTCACGCCTTCTGAGGCTTTTGCTGTCAAAGGCAAGTGCCGTTTAGTGGCTTTTGCTACCAAACTGTTATATCTTAATGCGCTTAAACTGGGATTTGGTTGATTTGAAGCAAATCTATTTGTTGATCGTATACTACGTGCCTAAAGCATTCGCTCGGTTATCTCATTTTTGCGAATGCTTTAGGCGTTTAGCAGGTTTTGCATCTGATCTCTCTCTCTCTCTATCTGTCTTTCTGTCTCTCTGTCTGTCTGTCTGTCTGTCTGTCTATCTATCTGTCTAGATGGTATATATCAAATGGCTGTTAGAAAGCTACTGATTGACTTTACAGGTTGCATTTTTGTTCATCCTTTCTTCTAATGTCTTTCCTCCTCTGTGTATTTGGCCAATAGGAGAAGAGCAATAACCAAATTGACATGACCTATAAGCTGAAGATGTTGCAGCAGGGTTTGGAGCAGGAGGAGGCAGCACACAAGGCCACTAAAGCTCGACTCGCTGACAAAAACATGATCAGCGAGTCCATCGAAGGAGCCAAATCTGAAGCTGTAAAGGGTATGGGAGTTTGAGGTCAAAGATGTCTTGAAACATACATTTTAAATGCAGTGTTATCTATTAAAACAGCAGCTTCACCCTCATTGAAGTTAACAGAAGCTGCAGCGTTTTTAATTTTAAGAAGTGGGCATGACAGTGTAGTCAGCTTTGAATGCACTGGTGTATATCTTGATTTAGCATGAAAAAGAGAGTTTTCTAAATGAACAGGACTGTTTAACGTGTTTGTCTGTGTGTTCACTCAGAGCTGGAGCAAAAGCTGCAGGAGGAACGTTCCTCTAAACAGCGTGTGGAGAACAGGGTGTTAGAACTGGAGAAGAAGAACTCCATGCTCGACTGTGACTATAAACAATCGCTCCAAAAACTAGAGGAACTGCGGCGACACAAGGAGAGACTCACAGAAGAGGTGTGTGAGGGGTGGAAATGTGTTTTTGGCACTCCACTCCAGTGTGTTGATTGAGTTTTAAGTTGGCAAGATAACTCTTTCTGGCTTTTACATACAGTGTACACTTTTATTAGACCACCTGTCAGAAGAGAAAACACACATAGTTTAGAAATTTATCAATAAAATCATTTATTAAGCAAATAACAAGCTGGAACAACTAAATAATCACAATTAGTTGGTTTCAGTTGTATATTTCCAAAAAAAAACTAAGAATGCATTATGATTTGTTCATATTTTTTTTGTGTCCTCGTGAGAAATGTTTTACCATGTGATATTATATGGGAAAGAAATCGCTTTTTGCCCCATCACAATATCAGAAATCTTCAAACCACTACAGCTCTTTTTTTTGGTACGTAGTTTTTGTTTATAGACCTTCTCATGGTTCTTCTCCGTCTTTCTATAGGTGAAGAATCTGAACCTGAAGATTGAACAAGAGGTTCAGAAACGCACTTTGACTCAGAATGACCTGAAGGTTCAGAACCAGCAGCTCAGCACCCTGAGAACATCAGAGAAACAGCTCAAACAGGAGATCAACCACATTCTAGAAATTAAACGCAGCCTGGAAAAACAAAACATGGAACTGCGCAAGTATGCAGCAAGCTTTGATATCAGCTCATTTAGTATTTGTTACTCGCTTATATATGATTCTTAAAGGGATGGATCACACAAAAATGAAAGTTCTTTACTCGCTCTTCACTTGTTTTAAACCTTTATTCTTTTGAAAACTAAACAAGATATTTTGAAGAATGTTGAAAACTAGTAACCATTTATTTCCATATAAGGAAAAACAAATACTATGGAAATAAATGTTATTGGTTTTCAGCTTTCATCAAAATATCTTGTTTTGCGTTCAACAGAAAAAAAGAAACTCAAAGTTTTTAAACCACATGAGGGTGAGTAAATGGCGAGTTAAGTTTCACTTAGGAGGACAATTTCAACTTTTAAAATTTTTTTTTTTACTTTGAGTGAAATTTCCCTTTAATCAACCTGTGGTTCTGTTTATGCAAAAATAATTAATTATTCATACATAAACTAATTGTCAACGTGTCTTTCTAGGGAACGTCAGGATTCTGATGGGCAGATGAAGGAACTGCAGGATCAGTTGGAAGCAGAGCAGTATTTCTCTGTAAGAAGTGTGAATTCTTTCTCTTAGGGAAAATAAACAGATACTTCTTAAGAAGTCTTAAGGCCAAAATACAGTAAACCTCTATTTTTACTCATTCCCAAGGGTCTCTATACAGGTTATCTCATTTCACTAAGAATTTACACATGCACTTTGAATTTTTCAATTTATCCAAAAGATGTCAATGAGGAACCAGGCTCCTATTTCACAGAAAAAAATGTGTCCCACTTTATTAGAAGTGGCGTTAATTACTATGTACTTACATGAAAAAATAAGTGCAATGTGATCATTGTGTTAATATCATATTGCACAACACTTCTGGTGCTCTTGAAGTGTGATACATGTAAGGTTAGGGACAGGTCTCGCGGTATGGGTAGGTTTAAAATTCTGTTAAGGTAACGAATGGGTCAACCGTGTAATTCTGAATGTAATTAAATGATTTAATTAAAAATATTTTAGCAAGCATAGCATTTGGATGTAAACAATAATCTAGTTAAGATGAAAGAAACAGTAGATATCCACATTGATGAGCAATTGTGTAAAGGAGACAAATATATGTCTGCAACTCTCCTTTAAAAGCATTTTAAGAGAAAAAGCACACACTGGATGAGAATGAATCTGTCTAGTGCACAAGTATTGAGCGCTGCTGTTCATGCATGCTAGCAGATAATTGTAAAATGTTGTGTGCTGAGGTGTTTGTGTAACTAGTGCAAAAACAAATACCCTGTGTGTGTGGACTTTACAATTCTTTTTGTATGTATGTGTGTAGACGCTGTATAAGACACAAGTGCGAGAGCTGAAGGAGGAGTGTGAGGAGAAAAATAAACTTTATAAAGACGTGCAGCAGAATCTACAGGAGCTGCAGGAGGAAAGGTGAGATTTAATTCCAATAAAAATACTATGCAAATTGCAATTTTACTGGATTATTCAAACTTTTGTATCTAATTTGTTGAATTTGGATCAAAATTAAACCTTTAAATCGTTTTAATTTTTTATCTTAGGTTTTATTAATTGCTGTTTATGTCTTTTAATTGTTTTAGTTTTATTATAATATCAATAAAGTGATATTTATAAAATATTTGATCTGATTTGCCATGAAAAAGGCAAATAGGCTGACATGGCCATACATTTAAAAATCTATTGCATCTAATTTGCAGCTAAATTAATTTTAATTAATTTTTTTTTCTTTTTTAATTTAACAATGTTGGTTTAATACCTATGTGCCGTTTATGTCTCTGTTTCTCAGGGATTCACTTGCGGCCCAGTTGGAGATCACACTAACCAAAGCAGACTCTGAGCAGCTGGCACGCTCTATTGCGGAGGAGCAGTATTCAGACCTAGAGAAAGAGAAGATCATGAAGGAGCTGGAGATCAAGGAGATGATGGCCAGACACCGACAGGAGCTCGCTGAGAAAGACACCACCATCAGCTCCGTGAGTTTATTCGTGACTTTTGCTGCAGTCTTAAAGAACTTGAATGGCATTGCTGTTAACTGCATTGTCTATTTTACAGTTAGAGGAAGCCAATCGCACATTGACCAGTGATGTGGCAAACCTGGCCAATGAGAAGGAAGAATTCAACAACAAGCTGAAGGAGGCAGAGGACTGTGAGTTAGCATAGTCTTACCTCAATTTCCAATAAATATTTGTTCTTACTGAATAACTAAATAAAGAGTCTGCCTAATACAAAATAATAACTAGATATTATAGCAATGCATAGTCTATGAGTATTTTGTGTAAACCAGATACTGGGTTATTTAGGTTATCAAATGTAAAGGGTTATCATAATATAAGTATAAAGACAATTTTATGAATTGTTTCTGTTTTCAGAGTTATGTTCATTTACAGATTTATGTTCAGTTGGTTTTCTCACTTTTAGTTTTTGTCTTGTTTCCAGTCCAAATGTCAAAATATTCAGTATAGTTTCACTTTCAGAAATAATAAATCAAAATTAGGTTTGTTTCTCTATAAAACAAGATAAATAATCTGCCAATGGGGTAAGGAAAATAATCTTTATTTTCTTTAAAAATATTTTACTTACACCATTGGTTGATTATTTTTCTTTGTTTTAAGGAAAACTTTATTTGTGTGGAAAATGCTTATTGATTTAAGATTTCAAAATAAAACAAAACTTTAGGTCTTAAAGTCCTAAATTCACAGAAATATTGTTTTGTTTTAAATCATTTTGAACAGGTTTTAATAAAAAAGTATATACAACTAGAGCTTTCTTGTTTTGACACATTAAAATATCTGGTTTATAAAAAAAGACACTTTTTTATTTCAATTCCATTGGACCAACCAGGCCATTACAATAAATCCTTAGTATTTAGCCTTGTAGAAGTCTAAAATCTCATTCATAAAGGTCTTAAAAGGGTCTTAAAATGTCTTAAATTTGACTTGATGAAACCTGAAGAAACCCTGATAAAATGTGCTGCATTTTCTCACAACCAAACAAATGATGAAACCGCCTGCACTTTCTCCAACACTAGCAAATAGAATGGAATACAATGGAAATGTTTCAAGAGGAACCTAAAACGAGATGGACACTGCTGCAAAACTGTGCCGTGACTAGTGCTCAGTGTAGTTGTTGGTGATCCTTCCTGATTTGCTTGTCTTTTGCATTTTATTAGCCTAAATAACCATAACCTAAATAGCTGGGTCCATCACCTTTTAGGGTCTACTTGAAACATTTCCGTTGTGTTCCGTTCTATTTGCAAGTGTTGTGAGAAAATGCAGCACGTTTTCTTAATTTATTTGCATCGTGAGGATTTGCAACAAACCATTGAAGATTGTTTCTTAATTTGCTGGTGTTTTTTTTATAATTGCATGTGCTTTCTTAAACTGCAGCACGTTTAGCTCTCTCGGCCACCGTAGCATTAAACTATTTACAGCTTAAACACAATCAATGACCTGTCGATTTACCATCAGAAGAAAACTCTGGCAGGTTTTACAGTGGCTAAAGGTTTGTGTCTTTGTGAATACAGATCTCATTTTTACAATTTTTATTTTTCAGACCTGCAGAATCTGAAGAATGAAGAGCAATCCATCACTCAGGTCAAGCTAGCGCTGGAGAAACAACTGCAGTCAGAGAGAACCCTCAAAACACAGGTGAAAACCACAACAGTTTCTCTACAGCACATCTGACTCCAAACTGAGCTTGATTTATTTGCTCAGTCACGCATTTTCTTCCTCGTTTTGTCAGGCGGTGAACAAGCTGGCAGAGATCATGAACAGAAAGGAGGTCAGAGGTGGTGGCAGCCGCCGTGGAAATGATACAGACGTGAGGAGGAAGGAGAAAGAAAACAGGAAGCTGCAGCTGGAGCTTCGTTCAGAAAGAGAGAAGCTCAACAGCACAATCATCAAATACCAGAGAGAGATCAACGACATACAAGCGGTAGGAAAGCTAATCAGAGTCTGAATGACATTGAAGACTTGTTTCCCTGCTCAGATTGATCTCAAATGGCCAATAGTCTCTTGCAAATCAATTACAACCTTTCACATGGCAAGTTGTTATGCTGATGTCTTAAGCTTTTTGTGGTTGTTGTTGCTGCTGCTACTTGTGTGTTTGTTGAGCCTGGGAGAGAAATAATAACCACCTAAAACATAATATACAGTAGTCAACATTTGAAGTGGATCAACACCTTTCTTCAAAGTTGTCCTAAAACTAATGAATAATGCAGAATGAGATCATACTAACAAACAGTTAATATCTTAATAATAGCCAGGTAATAAGCCAGCAGTTAATAGTTATTAATAATGATTAATAATTAGTAAACCACTTGGTTAATGGGCATTTAAGCATTGTATGTTCTGTCTTCATAATTATTATGTACTTGTATGAGAAAATAAGTACAATGTGCTTCTTGTGTTCATATTATTTCTGGTGTTCACAACACTGCTTGTGCTCTTGAAATGGGATATGGGTAAGGTTAGGGACAGGTCTCAGGGTATGGGTTGGTATAAGATTCTGTTAAGGTAATGGATGGGTCAGCAGACCATTTTTGGTCATAATATAGGTATTATTTGTGTAAGCCCACGTATATATACACACACTAAAAAAAGATGCTTTCCTTTTTTTTTTTTATAAAGCTTATGTATTTTTACTATCATTAATCAATTTTTATAGGGATTTTTTATTATTATTTTATTTATGTCAGCTATTTGTTTCTCCTCTGATTACATTAATTATATTTGTTTTATGTCAGGAGTGCCCAAACTTTTTCATATAAAGGGCCAAAAACTGAATATCATTATGAGCCCTGGGCCGAAGGTAAATACCAAAGTATTACTGCTCAATAAAGTAAAGGGGAACACTTAAACAACACAATGTAACTCCAAGTGTGTTCCCTTTATTTTTTGAGCAGTATATATTACATTAAAGTTACTGATTCATTTCATATAAAATAAATTAAAAAATTACTTTAAATTGTATTAACTTATGCAGTCTTCTTCTTCTTCTTCTTCTTCCTGTATGGTTGCGGGGTCGGCTCTTTGGAACAAGTCCTCCCTTTAGACTTTGTCCATATGATAACAACTTTTTTACACATTCCGGCCGACCTGTCGTCTGTCGCCACTTATACACTCATACACTATGGACAATTTAGCTTACCCAATTCACCTGTAGCATGTCTTTGGACTTTGGGGAAAACCGGAGCACCCTGAGGAAACCCATGCAAACGCAGGGAGAACATGCAAACTCCTCACAGAAATGCCAACTGAGCCGAGGTTCGAACCAGCAACCTTCTTGCTGTGAGGCGACAGCACTACCTACTGCGCCACTGCAATCAAACATAAATTATTGCAATAAAACATAACAGTTGAGTTCAATGCTGAATACACTAGTCAAGTAGAATCTTTGCCTTGATACGCTCACGAAAGTCTCTGCATTGTCCTCTATCCGTCAGGTGACAGTATGTACATTTAAACCAAATCTGATTAATTTACAATATTTAATTGAAATGCTTAATTTCAGTCAGCTTTTAACAATAAAAAGTTGCATTAGATTTGAAATGACATTCTCAGATGGGAAGGTGGGTTAAATCAATGGTTACTATGGGCCAACTTTGGCCCCCAGGCCCTAGTTTGGGCAGCTCTGCTCCATTTAAAAGTATTAATTTCAGAAATATTGTTGACTGAAGCATCCCTATAAATAATGCTTCAGCATATGATAAAATGAAGGCTTCAAATTGACTCCATGACTAGTATTTCTATCAGCTGACTGTACTTTCACAAAATTGACGAACTCCCCAAAAATCCAGATCTGACCACGCTTTTATTCTTACTGTGGTTATTGCATTGTATTTACCATATTATGTTGTTATTATAAATGTAAAACTATGTTGTCAAACGTATCTGAAAACTGATCAATGAAGCTACCACTGTTTATTTCTTTCAGCAACTGTTGGATGAGTCTCAGGTGCGCATTGAGCTTCAGATGGCTCTGGACAGTAAAGACAGTGATATTGAGCAGCTGCGGAGTCTGCTGAACTCACTCAACGTTCAGTCGCTGGACTCGGCCAGTATGAGCAGCGGTCCAGACATGGACACAGATGAGTCTTTGCTTGGTACGATTACAAACCTCTGCTCTTTCTGATTTGCTCTGTACTCTTTCAAGCATTCTGTTCACTTTGCTCTTTGTGCTCTTTTCCACGTCATTCCACGACACACTCTCTTCTTCCTTCTTAGTTTTGGTCTGGTTTTCAGTTCAACTTTCGGTCTTTCACCCTTTACTTCAGGTGACCTGCATGGTGTTCAGTGCATGAGTTTACACCTCTTAAAACTTGACTGGACCTCATGCTTTACCATGACAGGTGAGTTTCATAAAGCGGTTTTATAATTCAGATCTTCCTCTGTTTGATGTGCAGAGATCAGATTGGAGGGTTGGCTGTCTTTACCTGTCAGAAACAACACCAAACGCTTTGGATGGGAAAGAAAGGTATGTTTTTATACATACATGTTGTTGTTGTTTTTAAAGTGAGCATTTGGCTAACATATAAATAGATTGTATACTGTTAAATAGAACAGTACCTGAGCATGATGTCACAATTAGCCAATAGTTTAAGTAACCAGTGCTTTGTTGTTTCCAAATTAATCAGAATGAAACAATTGCAACAAAATATATAATTATAATATAAGAAACAAAAAAATGGTGTTTAATTGTTTAATGCTAAATGTAATTTTGAATAATTGAAACCAATCTATGACAAACATTTTTGTTAAGTAATGACACCGCATGCTTATTCTGCATCTCTCCTCATAATGCAGCATTCAGTGAGTCTTTTGATCTTTCTTTTATCTCTAGTATGTTGTGGTGAGCAGCAAGAAGATCCTCTTTTACAACAGCGAACAGGACAAAGAGCACTCCAACCCGTACATGGTGTTGGACATAGAGTGAGTCACCCATCTCACAACAAACACACAAACTTAGTCATTTGCTAAAAAAAAAGAGTCTCCACATGTCCTGAAAACAATTTTCTAGTCCTGGAAAAACAATGGAAAAAGTCACGGGAAAACTCCTGTTGTAATGGATTTTTTTTATTTTTATCATCATTTAAATGTTTTTGTTCCATGAAGAACAGTGTGTGTTTGGTCTATTAGTAACAGAAAGTGCTTTGTTCAGAGTTTCTGAGTTTGCAAACAAATTATTTTTAAATCCATACAAGGGATCTGCTTGACAAACTACAGAATGAATGATGGAATTGACCTGAGAAAGAATTTTTTAATATTTTATATATATATATATATATATATATATATATATATATATATATATATATATATATATATATATATATATATATATATATATTTATATATATATATATATATATATAATATTAAAAAAAAAAAATATATATATATATATATATATATATATATATATATAAATATATATATATATATATTTTTTATAATGTAAAAGCTTCTTGCATCGCCATGGGTTTTTTAAGAAATATATAGACATTCAGCATAAACCTGTTTTACACAATTCTGAGCGATATTGAAGTCCAAATAAGATGCTTCTTTGATATACAGCAGATCATACATTTATTATGGTAACACTTTACAATAAGGTTCATTAGTTAATGAATTTACTAACATGAACTAATCATGAACAACACATGTACAGCATTTATTAATCATAATTGAACATTTACTAATGCATTATTAACATCCAAGTCCATGCTTGTTAACATTAGTTAATGCACCATGAGTTAACATGAACTAACAATGAACAACTGTAATATCATTAACTAACGTTAACTAACATGAACAAATACAGTAGTAAATGCATTGTTCATTGTTTGTTCATCTTAGTAAATGCATTAATTAACATTAACTAATGAACCTTATTGTAAAGTGTGACCTTTATTATTTATCTTAAATAACTGGCCAGTTTGAATTACAGTTGAAATACAGTAAGTAGCACTTGTATACAACTTCACAGAAGGACCTTTTGCAGATTTTCTAACACTTCACTAAGCAGAAAATGCATTTCCTAACTTCCTTTTTCTCAATTTCTATTACCAAACAAAAGTAGTTTCTAAAAAAAAAAAGCAGAACATTTCTTAGCAATACACACTAGTGTATTAGTGTAAAAAATATATTACTTTAGCGAATCTGTGACTCTTAATTTTTTTTTATTTTTAAAATTCCCATCTAACAAATTTGAAAATGCCTGGAAATTGATCACTGAAAAAGTGGGAACACTAAAGAAGTTGCCTTTTTAACTCCCTCAATTCATCTTGATTCATCTGTTATTCCCTCAACAGTAAACTTTTCCATGTGCGCTCTGTAACCCAGACGGATGTTTATCGCGCTGACGCCAAAGAAATCCCCAGAATATTCCAGGTATAACAACAAACCGCAGAAAGTACAGACAATATGTCGGTGTGCTTTTAGGCTTGTAGACATTTCATAACATATACCATAACATACAACATAACATACGATATAAGCAAATGTCTCACGACTAGTCACTGCTTTCCTCAGATTTTGTATGCTAACGAGGGCGAGAGCAAGAAAGAGCAGGAACTGGAGCCTCTTCCAGGTGACAAGTCAAGCTACATTTGCCATAAGGGTCACGAGTTCATCCCCACCCTCTATCACTTCCCCACCAACTGTGAAGCCTGTACCAAACCCCTGTGGAACATGTTTAAGCCACCGCCTGCCCTCGAATGCAGACGATGCCACATCAAGTGCCACAAAGACCACATGGATAAGAAGGAGGAAGTCATCGCGCCCTGCAGAGGTGAGGACAAGAGCTGTGCTTACTCCACTCATGGCCAGTCATTTTATACAGGGTATCTGCAGGGTCCTAAAATGTCTTAAATCTCAAAAGCTAAATTTTAGGTCTTAAAAAGTCTTAAATCTAATGAAATATTGTGTTGTTGATCTTAAATCTTTTTTTTAACAGGTCTTTATTTTCCTTTGTTCATGTATAGCGTTCTAATCTGGCTATTAACACTCATACAATCACTGACAATCCCAATCTCAATAAAACTTTTTATTTAAAAATAGATATATTTACTATCATGTTTTAATTACTTTTTTTACAGTAACATTTGGTTAAATGTTCTCCATTTATTTACTGCTGAGGATACTGACCTGACCTATATTTGCTATTAAGTTATTATTGTATTATTCAATGAATTAAATGTAATTATTTTTTCATTGGGCAAGTGAAAATCTTCTCCAACTGGGGAAAAAGTCTTAAATTTAACTTGGTGAAACCTGCAGAAACTCTGTTTACAGTTAAAGGGAGAGTTCACCTAAGAATAATAATTTTGTTACCATTTACAGTACTCGCACCCTTCATCTTCCAAACCTGGTTGCATTTCTGTTGAACATGAAGGAGATTGTAGGAAAAGTCTGACTTCCATAGTATTTGTTTTTGTTTTTACTGCTGCTTTTTTCCAACATTCCTCAAAATATCTTGTTTTGTGTTCAACAGAGGAAAGAAATTCATAAAAATGTCCTCTCAAAACTTATATTTTAGCAGATGAGATTACATGGAGGCTTTTATTTTCTTACAAACAAGGGCAACAACAGCAAACAAACAAATCTGGGAACAGTTTGTAAAATCAACACTCACCAAGCATCAAATGTAAGCTGGTGAGATAAGAAACTTAGCCAGAAGCTTAATAATAATACTGACATTGATAGAGAATGGTTTCCAGTAGGGATGTCCCGTTAGAGATTTTGCCCACAAGTCTGAGTCATTTGATGTTGAGTTTCTATCGATACCCAAACCTGATCAGATACTTCTATAATACATAAAATAGAATAAAGAAGAGCGAAAAAACAGATCCAATATATTCCTTATATTTTATTTAATTCACCTTATTTTAACATTCAAAAGCTCTGTTAACAAACAGAGCACTTCTGTGAGGTAGCTTGAATAATCAAGTAATTACTAACAATAATTCTTCACTTTTGGATTTTAGTGCGACAGTAAATAAATTAAAAAAAATGTAATAGAAAAACAACTAGTTGCTTAAAATACCCAGCAGGCAATCCCAAATTTACATATCAAAGTTTGCTGTGGCAATGTTGTCATCATCCACTTTATAATACCTCCAGACCGCAGACATGTGCTTTCCGCTTCAAGCTGCTTCCGTGTTCTACCTTGCCAGCATTTAACCAGTAGCGTCTCTGCAACAAAGTGATTTCAAGCTGCACGCGTTGCTGTTTCTGTGAGTCAAGGAAGGGGTCTAATTCTGTGCCACCTCATGTGTGTTAAACCATAATGAGAAAAAATATATATGCAAATATGTTTGAGTCCTGATCGGGACATAAAAATCGTCGGGAGTCTGAAACTGCATGATCGGGCCCGATTTCTGATCACGTAATCGGATCTGGACATCCCCAGTATCCAGGACGGTATGTTCAGATTGAGAACTTGCAGAAAAAAAGGCATTTTATAGAAATCTGCATAATGTTCTTTTTTTTATTTATTTATTTATTTTCATTTTACATGCGCATTTCATGATAACAGTGTTTTCAGTGGCTCCGTTTAGAGGGAATGATATTTCACACACACTCTATCTCTGCCATTTATTTCAGTCATTTATTATCTGGATCTGAGAATGCAAAATGAGTCAAACATACTGTGAACTTTACAGTTTCATGACTGGTCATTTTTGTCAAGTGCTTTTAGCAAAAGAAGCTAAATGACAGATTTAGGCTGTCTGTGAATATTTTCAAATATACCTATACAGAATATTAGAAGAAAATATCCAAGTAGAAATTAATCCTGTTACTTGGCAAAATGTAGTGTTAAATTGCCAAAAAAAACTAAAATGACTAAATTATTTATAAAAATTTTAATCATACAAAGTCATGGAATAGTTGTTAAGCTGAAAATTATGAATGTTCCTAAATACAAAACTTTCATTCATTCATTCCGCCACTGCGGAATGAACTACCAAGTATTCCAGCCTATGTTTTACACAGCGGATGCCCTTTCAGGTGCAATCCAGCACTGGGAAACACCCATACACTCTCTCATTCACACACACACACATTCATACACTAAGGCCAATTTTGTTTATTTAATTCCTGTACCGCATGTCTTTGGACTGTAGGGGAAACTAGAAACCCATGCAAACACAGAGACAACATGCAAACTCCACACAAAAATGGCAACTGGTCCAGCCGGGACTCAACCCAGTGATCTTCTTTCTGTGAGGCAACAGTGCTAAACACTGCGTCACCATGCTGCCTGAATACAAAGATTTATTTATCGTAATTTAACCAACCTCGAAGCTTTGAACAGCATTGCATGTTTGAATTAAACTGACCCATTCTAATGTTTTCTGTGCTTTCTTTCTTTACCCTCAGTCGACATGTCTACAGCTAAGAATCTGCTGCTGTTAGCTTCGTCTCAGGAGGACCAGCAGAAGTGGGTTAGCCGTCTAATGAAGAAAATCCCCAAAAAACCTCCAGCCCCAGACGCCCCTCACCGCTCCTCTCCTAGAGTCCCTGTCAAAGTACAAAGCAGTCAATCCATGAGGAGACCCAGTCGGCAGATACCCGCCGGCAAACCCAGGTGAGCTCGGAGTCTCATTTTTATGCACAATCATGTGAATCGTGTGGCCGTGTTCATCCTGTGTTTACATGTGGCAGATGTAGCGTTTACGCTGTGTCAGTTCAAAGATACTGCACAGATTGTTGGTCATCACAGTCTGTCTCTAGAGTAAGAGGATTACTTTAAGGCCTGCTTCATGTTCACGTCTGGTGGCCAGATCATGTGAAATGAAATCTCTCTTATCATTTACTCATCCTCATGACATTGCAGTGTTACATTTTTAGAGCATGTATAAAAAGCACGAGATAACTTTTGAAATAGTTTTGCAGTTATTAACAATTTGTGTTTTTTTTTTTTGCCCTGAAAGTCACAATTAATTGATGTCAAATCCACAATTTTAAATGATGTATTATATTTCCTGGAAAATAATCACACCTACAGTTGAAATCAGAATAATTAAACCCCCTTTGAATTTAAAAGGACATGCGTTTGAGTGAATGATGACATATTCAGTGATTGCTTTTACCATCTTGTTCTGTAAACTTTGATTCCAAGATGGCTGTGCTTAAAATCAATGCAGACACTTTGGCCCCAGTTACACACTAGAGTGCTGCTCTATATGACACACAGGTTTGTGCACAGCGTAACGGAACCAGCAGCGTGTACGGAGAAATCGGGCTTCATCTACCACAAGGGTCATGAGTTTATCCCCTTATTCTTCCACTTCCCCGCCAACTGCGAGGCCTGTCCCAAACCCCTGTGGAACATGTTCAAACCTCCCCTGGCTTTGGAATGCCAAAGATGTCAGATCAAATGCCACAAAGAGCACATGGACAAGCGTGAAGATTGTCTTAAACCCTGCGCAGAACAGTTTAACCCACAGTTGAACACGGGGTGAGAGGAGAAACGCAGCTCCGCCGGAAGTTGGACGGAGAATGTATTGATATTTATTGGCGACTGCTTTAGGAGTCTTCAGAACCATCAGTCAAGGTTTCAGTCGCGGTGCTTTGCTAGCAGAATAACATTGGCGGTCTCTGCAAATGGTGGCTAACTGGATTTAAAGCTTGAAGAGTGTTACGCTGGGCTACTTTTGTAACTTGGGATGCAAGATAACATCTTGAGAATTAACAAAGCACTTTTTTTTTCTTTTGTATTAAACTCAGGTTTACGAATGTTAACACTGAATTTAAAGGTTGAATTTAAAAAAAAAAAGTCTCAATTAGAGATTTAAATCTTTAACTTTATTACTTGTATAAGCCTAATGTATATTTCGATTTTATTATAAGTATTAATATTGCGTACGCTAGGATATGCTAGTTCATGTGTGTGCACTGAATCATCAAAAAAAAAAGCCAACAAAACAACGACCTTTACATAAGATGAAAAACAGTAGATGCTCATGCTGAAGATTATTCGCAACTCCAAATTTTATAGAAATTCATAGACAAGAATGCTGTCAAAAGGATTATAGTGCATACACTGAAAAGTGAAGCCAAAGCACTGTGCTCACCCCCTGGTGGCTGGCTGCAGTTTAGATCAAACCCCATGTAAACAAACAACAAAATAATCGAAATATTTTTGGTAGTTCTTTCCATTCTAATTTATGTTCAAGTCATACATTTTTCTAATTAGGTTAGGTCTTTTGTTGTTATTTGATGCTATAAAAATGGGGTGTGATGTCATCATTGCATGCCTGTTATTGGATCTGCAAGCGTTTGGGTTCTGCGGCTTCCACTTTTGGTCATTTCTGCTCAGACTCAGGCTCCAGATAGCGTCATTAGCCCCTTTCACACAGTGATACCGGTAAATATCCGGAAAATTTCCAGAACGACTTTACCGGTATATTCAAAAAAGCGCTGTTCACACAGGCGAGGACGTTACGGAAATTTTCCGGAAAAGAGCATTCACACATCCATTCCAAAATACCGGTAAATTCTGACATCATTCACCACAAATGAGCTTTAAACGGCTGCGCTTGTATTTGTAAACATTTGACTAAATTACAAACTCTGTGGATGATCAATATTGTGAACAACTTTCGCAGGATCACTTTCGCATGTCGAGATGTTCATAATATGTGCGTGTGCAAGCGCTCACAGGCTGATTCACAGGCACACGCAAAGTTTGAAGGTTAACAAACAACGGCTTATCATAAGCATGTCATCGATGATTATTTACACAGTTGGCATAAAGAAGAACATATAAACATGATCTGACTAACTTCTAGCAGCTAAATGTGTCTGGAAAAATATTCAAAGGTTTTTATTCTCACAAACCGCGCGGACGTAAATGCGTCTGACTGTTATGATTGGCTAAAGCAGATGTCTCACGTCAGCACGTTCTAGACGTGCACGCGCTTATTCCAGTAATCTTCCTTCTGCATTCACACAGCGCAGCATTCCGGCAAATTGCTGGTAATGTTACAACTTCTCTTTCCGGAAAATAGCCAGAACGAATTTACCGGTATTTTCAATAAGGACCTGTTCACACATACACACCTTTCCGGAAAATTGCCGGCAATTTTCCGAAAAAGGTCTGTATGTGTGAAAGGGGCTATTGACACAAGATGGCAGCAGCCACACCTTACAAATTTTGGCTTCACTTTTCTGCATTGAAACTAAAATGGAACGTACCATTTTTCTTGCATAGGCTAGGATATGCTTGTTCATGCGTGTACACTGAACTATCGGAAAAGAATTCAGAAAAACAACAACCTTTACAAAAGATGACCAAATTAGTAGATGCCCATGCTGAAGATTCTGCGCAACTTAAAATATAGAAATTCATAGACAAGAATTCTGTCAAAATGATTATAGTCCATACACTGAAAAGTGAAGCAATACACGGGGATTGCCCCTGGTGGCTGGCTGCAGTACAGATCATAAACACTGTGTAAACAAACAACATTGCTGCCGCTGCAAAAAAAAAAAAAGAAGTTTGGTTTTATTATTGCATGCTTGTGATCGGATCTGCAAGTGTTTGGGTGGGTTTTGATACTGCAGCTTCCTCTTTCGGTCACTACAGCACAGACTCCAAATGTGTCATTAACACAAGATGGCAGCAGCCACACCTTACAAATTGTCTTCACTTTTCTGCATTGGAACTAAAATGGAGGGTACCATTTATCTCCATCATATCCTAGTGTATGAATTTAAAAATATTGTTTTTAGTATGCTTTAAGCTGTAGTATACAACTTGAGATGCCTAAAGATACTTTTGAGTAAACTAACCATTAAAAGTAAGTGGTTGAGCTCCGTTATTATCAAAATTAGCTCTAGTCTGGTAAGGTGTCGCTCCAGACCTCAGTGAGTGGGGACGGCTTGACTCAATGATCTCTCCTCCACCTGCAGGCCTCTGGATCTGGAGCTTCAGGACTGGCACTGGGCTCTGGATGACGTGGATGATGTAGATTATGACCATGAGTTTAATTTCTGAGGAGCATAAGCAGGGTTGAACAGGGTAACCGTTTACATAGTGACTCTGTTCCAAAACCTCATAAGCACCTACTTAGGCAACATTTAGTTTATTTGTCATTATCTTATACACACTATGCATTTTTATTTTTAAATATTGGCTTAACTAGAGATAAATATTTTATTTAGCTCCTTTAAAAATGTATATCACTACATGTACAGCACACCATAGAAATGTGATGCCTGAATTAGTTTTTTTAATAATTGAATTGTTTTATATTAAAACTGAACTGTTAAAAGGGTGTCATATATATTATTTTCTAGACTTTTTGAAAAGTTTGTGTGTGTGTGTGTGTGTGTGTGTGTGTGTGTGTGTGTGTGTGTGTGTGTGTGTGTGTGTGTGTGTGTGTGTGTGTGTGTGTGTGTTAGATAAAATATACAACAGAAACACTATTATTGTGAAATACTATAAAACAAACTAAAGCCAACTGTAGTTACTCACCTAAAACATCTCATTCATGCTTCAAAACCTAATTATCGTGTCAATATTTTGGCCAAGGCTACGAAAACATAAGGTGTAGTCATCAAATAAATTCTTGGTAAACATCTTGTCACTCTTGTTGGTCAGGCCAGAGCCACAAACATGTTGCTGCAGTTCAGGGTTGTGGATGTTCTCCATTCTCAAAAAAAATAGTGATTGTGCTGTGGGCAGTTTACATATACAGTAGTCAACATTGGATCAAAGTGGATGAAAATGGTCTCATATTAAGTCAAGAATGGTATTGCTAAATAGTTTTTAGATAACTTTGAATAAACATTTTGATCTACTTCAAATGTTGAGTACTATATATGCTCGTAGATTTTATTGGTTACATAGTTGATTCTAATTGTATTACAGTTAGAGTTCATTTACCAATTTAGCAGACATTACAAACAATTTCACTATCAGATATTTATGGTGTAAACGTGTGTGATAACGAATATTTGATAATTGAATAAATTGTGAATAAAAAGTGTGAATTACACAATAAAAAATGATTGGGAAGTGGTGAAGAGTTGGACAGTTTAAATGAGAATAGTCCAAACTACAAAAAATTGTACTTACTGTTTGGACACATGCGCCAAAGCATTTGCAATTTGCTTACATCAATTAGAAATGCCAGTCTGAAGTGAACAATGAGCTAATTGTTCAGAGATCAATTGTTTTGAACAATACAAACTCATTTTAGGAATTGAGCCAAAGCAATTGAGAAAAACTGAATCAGAGCTGGATTTTAGCACCATAACTCCAGTTTTCAGTGTCACAAAATGTTTTGGTGCTAAATGTTTTTTTAAAGTGATATTGAAATATAGATGTAACACACAAGTCCATATTATTACTTTTGATCACTTCAATGCTTTCATTGTAAAAAAAAATAAAATTCAACCACAAACTTGTAAACCCTTTTCGATATATAATCCATTCAAAATATCAAACAAAATTAGATCTGTTCTACTAAATAATTAATCCTATCAAACTAAAAATGTACAGTTTTATTCAGTATTTGTAAGTCGCACTAAACCCAAGGCTGCTTGTATGTTTTGGAACAAAGTCTGTTTTTGAGTGCAGTGGGATTTGTTTTCTGTTGAAGTAAACTTAAGCCTGCATGACTATTTGTGTGAACGATTTGGCCAAGATGGGAATAAGAAGAATTTCCCATAACCCAGCAAACATTTCTGTGCCAATTCCTCTGCTCATGCACACCCTCTCCACCCTCCTTCAAAACAATCATTTCTCGTCTATTACTGATTGAGAGGGGTGTGTTCAGAGATCTGGGCTGCATCCGAAATCGCATATATGCCTACTATGTAACTGTAGGTCTGAATTCACAATACTAACAAAAGAGTAGTCAAAAACTATCAAAGGTAACACCTCCAAATTTCATTCTTACTACACACTACTTTCTACTAAATCATACACCCTATTTTAATGATTGCAAAGTAATTTAGAAGACATTGAAGCCAATATGCCATTTGGGATGCAGCAGGTGTTTGGGGTGCTTGTGTTTCTTATTTGACCTCTGACCCTCTTGCCCTAGTCCCCCTCGAATGGACCCTCCAAAGATGAGGCGACAGGATTCCTCCAACAGCCTTCTCAACAACTGAGTTTACAAACTGTCTGTCAAGACGTCATGTCAACTGTACTGTATAAGAAAACAATCACACATTGTGTATCAAAACAGTATTTTTTTAGGTCTTTTTTTTTGTTTCCCTTTTGCAATAAAAGTTTGCAACCTGTCGTGTGTTTGCTTCTCTTGAGCATGCAGTGCTGTGGTGCTTTTATCATCATCATCATCATCATCTGTTTCTTTCCTCCTGGGTGAAAATATGGGGAAACTAACTGTCTCTTTCTCGATTTCTCCCTCATTCTCTAGTTAACCTTGTATTGGGATTCTGGTGCTGCTACATGGTGATTTGGGGGTTCTTCCTGTCACACCAACACAAGACCTTTGTCGTAAACTTTTTCGCACATTTTGGCAAATCCAAAAAGAGTGAGAGATGCACAAATGTTGATGAAGGCTTTGCTGTGGTGATTTGGCTTTTATTCTCGGGGTTGCTTCAACTTGAAGAGCACAACAGAACTGAAAGCTCGACGTCGCACCAAACTTAACGCAAAGACTGAACCCACTGGAGCGACTAACCGACCGGACAATGTGGACGACAGCTGGTTTGTTTGTTTTTCGGGTGGACTGTAATGGCTGAATATAGACGGTAGAGCAACACACCACATAAACGGCTAGAAAACACCACTACATATGTTTCTCATAAGCGCAACTGTAGTGTTATTCCTCCTGTAGTGTTTTATTTTTACCTTTGTTTACCCCCACTGTGTTGATCAAAGCTTGATTTAACCCTCGTAAATGCATCCCATAATGCTCTCCCGCTCACGCTGTGTCGTATGAGTTGAATGTAATAAACAGGACAAGACGGCTAAATCGAGAAGTGAGCTGTACGTGTGGACAGAAGTTTTACAAACATTTCTAACAGCTGATCTTCAGTCAGTTTTTGTTGGCCAGTCATGATTTAATTCAGCTGTTAAAAGTTGAAATGGCGAGTTTCATGCTGCAGTTTCAGCTAACGTCATCTTGCAAGCACATAATGTTCATAAGACAGTGGAATGTGTGTAAAACCATGTTTAATTTCACTACAAGTATTTGTGTCCGTTTGTGTGTGATATTTGATTTTCTTTTTTGTGTTTGTGAGTGGGTGTCGTCACCCTAGCAAACAGTGTGTATCTCTGGGTGTGCTGTGAATGCATATCTGTGTTCTTCTACACGTTATATTATATAAGTATATATATATATTCTCATATATATGAGGATATACTGCGTATATGTGACCTGCCATCTTACCAGTTGGTTTGCTATTTATACAGGTCTGGGCACTTTTTATTTTGATTTTAAAGCGCTGCCTCCAGATTTGCATGTTTTATATTGATGTACTGTTTGACCATAAGATGAAAAGCATATGTAGCCGTGTTGTTTGGAGACCCTGTATAACATTTGCTTATTTTTGTAAACAAAAGTAGTCAGTTAAATAGATATATAGCTGTGAATGTAGTAGAAGGAAGTAAAGTTTTAATATAAATAATGTGGTCTTTTTGTCTGCCTTATTTTTATGATTTATATATATATATATATATATATATATTTCTGATACACATATGACATCTCTACTGCCTACTGAATGCACAGAAAGGATGCTTATAAAATAAAATGAAAATTATTTGGTTAAAGTACATTAACACACACACACGTTTTGAATGATTCTCAAAAATTCACACAAAATATTATTTTATTGATTTATGAAATACCAAAACAAAAGTCACTGACATCATGTTCATATAAACTATTAATAATCCTCTTGTACTAGAAGCACATTGATATGAGTGTGGAGTTTAAAAATGTTTATGGATTTATTGCTTTTATTTTTATTATGTGAAGCAGCTTCTCGCATCGATCATCGCTATAATAAAACTGCATACAGTATTTCAGCATATGTAAACATCATTCCTGAATGAACGACTACAGTCTGTTCAGTATCCTGACAACATTATTATTTTAACAGTCGTTTAGCTGAAAATTGGTCAAAAATATTTGCTTCACACCAAACTACTTTACAGTATATCTTAAAAACCAAAACAGAATTTATAAACAGAAACCTCAAGCATCTGGAGGTACAGGAGAGAATCCTCTCTGGAATGATAAGGAAGTGTTAGGGTAAAACTGAGGGAATGTCCACTGTTTCATAACACTGACTAAAGCAATTTATCAGTTTACACATGGCCATCTTTTTCTTCTTCTTCAAGGAAATATTAGATTGAAAGAATTGTTCTGCATAGACACCCATTCTGGTCCACAACTAAAAATCAAAAAATATATAAATTTGCATTTGTCATAAAGAATGCCAGTGCTTGCAAGGAAGCAAAAAAAAAAGACAAGTACAAAATGTAAAACCACAAATGTGAATGAAGGCTAATTATAGCTAATAAGACTAGACCAATAGTCTCAAACTCAATTCCTGGAGGGCTGCAGCTCAGCATAGTTTAGCTTCAACCATGTCCAACTCACACCTGCTTAATAGGTCTTAATCTTGTTCCTGGAGGTCTGGTGTCCTGCAGATTTTAGCTCCAACTGGCCTCAAGGATGTTTCTAGAAAGCCTAGTCAGAGCTTGATCAGCTAGCCCGGGTGTGTCTGATAAAAATTAGAGCTAAAATCTGCAGGACACCAGACCCCCAGGACCAAGATTGAGAACCCTTGGTCTCTAGTAGTCTCGAACACCTTGATTATTTGGATCAGCTGTGTTTTATTAGGGTTGGAACAAAACTGCAGAGCTGCTGCCCTCCCGGAATCCAGTTTGAGACCCATAAACTAAACCAAAGGTGTCATACTCAGTGCCTGGAGGGCTACTGACCTGCGCATTTTAATTTCAACCCTGCTCCAACACACTTAAGCTGTGGTCACATCAGACTTTTCTCCCCATAGACTTCCGTTCACACGCACAAGAATGTATCAGAGCAGAAACACAATCTCGTGTGACAAGTTACGCAGTTCGCTGCATTGCAAAGTTCAAGCTTGGTGAACTCTGACCTGCAAAATCGCATCATGTAACTGCGTGAGACCAATCGCAGATCAAATTATGACCGCTTGAACAAAAGTTTAAAATAAGTACCAATCGCTTGCTTTATTTCAAAATATCATCTTGTTTAATTCCGCCCCTTTTCGCAGCACCGTATAACAGAATTTCGCATGCTCAAACTTTAATGTGACCGCGACATTACCTGTAGGTTTTAAACAAGCCTGAAGGACTCAATTAGTTTAATCAGGTGTTTTTAATCAGGGTTAAAGCTAAACTTTGCAGAGCTCCAGCCCTCTGGGAACCCCTGTGGACTAGACCAATCACTATTTCCCCCAACAAAGTTATTAAAACATGAATCTTCTAAAATTGCAAACAAATTGGGGAAAACCCTTCTTAAAAAAAAAAAAGGATATTTAAAGCTCCTTGCAAGTACTGAATATTTGATGTGGAAAACTGTGAGTAATAGTGCATTCTGATAACAATAGATTTGGTTGTAGTACAGACTCACTTAAAGTCAGTGAATCTTTAAGGTTCCCCCAAAAATAAAAGTTCATTTATTTATTTTTTTAAACTCTCCCTTCACTTGTTCCAAACCTGTTGGAGTTTCTGTCTTCAGATGAACACAAAAGAAGGTCATTTGAAGAATGTTGGAAAACGATAGCATATTTTTCCCCCATAGTATCGCTTTTTCCTTCACTGTAAAAAATGCTGGGTTACACGCGATCGATTTTGTGTTGGGCCAACATGAATGAATTAAGTAAACCTTTCCGTGTTTAATTGATGTACTCAGCGTGCGAATTATACAATGACAATTGAAAGGGTAACTTTTTCGGTAGTATGGTAATCATTTTTTTTTCTTTTTAAATGTATCAGTTTTCAGTGTTTTGTCATTTACAGACTATTTTAGAGGTTACTGTAGGTCAGACTATACAAATTATGTGTCTAATTTGACCCTTTTTTTTTTCTCTACGTGCAGATTTAAATACCTGTTTTACAAGAAATGTGTTTTTTAAATACTTAAGATGTGTATCGGAGCTCTAGAACTGCCAGCTTCAGACTATTATAGGGGGGTCAAATGTATATTTGTATAATACATTTTAAATTCTTAATATTTAAGATATAGATCAGAGATCAGTGAAAGCTATTTCTTAATATTAAAGAGCTGACCCCCTATACATTTTGTTTTGATGTCCTTCAGGGGGGATCAAGCATTAATTAAGGGGGTCAATGCACCCCAAACTCCCCTGTAATTTGCAATGTAACCCCAAAAACCTTAAGAATTGTATTGTTGCAGCTCATTTTAAATAAGTAGTTTGAACAAACAGCAAACATCATTGAGTGTTCTATAGATGCCAAATGATCTTGTTTTTGTGTTCAACCAATGAAAGAAACTCATAAAAGTGAATCAGCACCTGAGTTTGAGGAAATGGGTACATTTTCATTTTTGGATAACCCATCCCTTTACCATATCTTACACTGGAATAACAAAAGTGCTCAATCCAAACAGCACATGACCTTTGTCTTAATCCTGTTTGACTGCTTGAGGTTTGTAGTAGATGACCGTAGCCGTAACCCACATGTTCAGAATGGTCATGACGATAAACCGAACCAGCACTGAAAAAGAAAGACAAAAACAAGTGAGAAACGTCCACCTAAAGCAAACAAATGACCCCATCCCATCAGGAAACTCTGACTGACCTTGTGTGTCTCCTGTGGTGATGATGGTAGTGAAGATCCGTGCTGTGAAGGACAGAAAACACTTCATATCAGCATGACTGACTGGAGAAGTGTTTCATTCTTGGTTTGTGTGTCTTACCCATGCATGTGTATGTGGCCAGAGCCCATGTGAGAGAGCTGACCTGACCAGAATCCTTGGAGCGCCACAAACACTGAAGCTGAGCCAGTTTACTGCTGCCGCTGATCAGCGTACACAGACTCTGACAGAGAACATTCATCAGTTAACACTGCTGGACAAATGAATGCTGAACTACAGAAAGATCTGCTTTACCTTTATTAATCTATTAAGTTCAACTAAAGGGTTTTTCAAATTGTGCTTAACCCCAGGTGATGGTCAGTCAAAGCCACGTCAAACTCAGCTCCTGGAGGGCCGCAGCTCTGCACGTTTTTGCTTTAACCCTTATTAAACACACATGATCAAGATAATTGAGTGCTTCAAGCTCGTTTAAAACCCACAAGAATGCCGAGTTCAGACTGCATGATTTTCAAAACAGTCACGTCACATGCTTTCATTAGTGGTGGGCAGAACAAGGCGTCATGAAACACTGAAACAGTCGAAGCCAATGTGACGAAGCTTCGAAATGTTTCAAAACCTGCCTACAGTGTCGTCTAGTGGTCATTTTTATGTATTGCTCTGGAACAGCTCCAGCAAAGAAACAGACTAGCATGCTGAGATAATCCGCTTGTAAAGTTGTGACTTTAAGTGCTTGTTACTGTTATTGTAATTAGCTTTTGTACATGTTTTTAGTCTGTGGGAGAACACTGGAGTACCCTGGGAAAACCCATGCGAACACTGGGAGATCATGCAAACTCTGCGCAGAATGTGTCGACTGCCTCAATTAGAGCTTGAACCTTGGCTCTCCCGCTGGCCCTCCAAAAACGAAGATGGGGAATAAAGCTTGGGCAGGATATTTATAGTAGTTTGAGAATGATCTGATAGGCTAGCTAATGATTAGCGATAAAGGTCAGTTGTAGTTGATCATATCACGTGCGCCTCTCGAAATTAGTGTGTACAACTTCACTTAGCAATTTCTCTCCTAATTTATTTATTTTTTTCGACCCAGTTGTGATATTGCTCTGATGACACATCAAACTTCCATGGGTGCTTCTGCCAAATTAACAATGGTTACCAGTTTGGTCCACAAATAGACCAAAAAGAAGCCTTTTCTCAACTGAAGCCATGCTTGTTGATATTGTGCTCTTTACCTTCGTAACTCCTCCCTCAACTTCTCGTAAGCCTGGATGCTGCTCTCTCATTGGCTGTAGGTAATTACTGATGTTATTTTCAATCAGAGCACATTTCCCATGGTATGATTTTGAAACACAGACAGTTCCAGATATTTAGGATGTCAAATATCTCACGGGTGTTAGGGAATCTCAGATCCCATCTTTGATAGTTCACACAGTGATGAAGTGTTACTCTTGTCAACGAGTATTTGCCTGTGATTTTAGGCATTTGTCTGTGATTTCTCAAAATCGGGGCTAAAATCATGCAGTCTGAACTCAGCATAAGTGTGTTGGAGCATGGTCGAACTAAACTCTTCAAGGCTGCAGCCCACCAGACATGCCTGATCTAAGAGTTTAACATGAGGTTTAAAAAAAAACCTTTTAAGTATTTTAATAAAGCAATTTGTCACTTAGTGGCTAACTAGTATTAATTTGTAGAATCTTACTTGTACACTTAAGTATGATTAGCTTATCTCTCAATGAGGGCTAGGGGTGAGGATTAAGCATATTTCACCCAAGCTGTCAAAGAGAAAGACTGTCAGCGAAAGACTGTCATTCCAGAGCAGAAGCAAATGGTTGGATTTTGATTGAGATTAGCCCAAACAAACAGTTTTTTTTCTCAGTGGTTTAACCTCAGAAAGGATTAATTGTTCATTTTAAAATGAATAATGTATTCTAACATATATTCATGCAGACTTTAATTTCCACACAGCAATACCAGCATGTTCTCACCATGGCCAAATCAATCACCCACTTCTTTACTGTGAGCAGCTGCCATCCACCCACAAACCTGATACGCACAGTCAAGGAAATAGAAGATCATCAAATATGTTTTAAATCAGGCAGGTTTTGATGTTATTATTGAGACAATATTTCAGACAATAACAAGCTTGAAGGATACAGTGCAGCATATATGAGACTGTGCTTGAGGTTTCTGTTATAATGCAGGATCAACAGGAGCACAATGACATCTGTGGACACACAAGATGGAACTGAAACACTCACAATCCAAGACCTCACCTGTGAAGAAGCAGCAGAAAGCACACTCACTCACCTTGTGCAATGAGGATGGGATACTCCAGGTAGGTGAGCGGTGGATATTCATAATACATCTGATAGGACATGAACACTATGAACCTACACAAACACACACAAAGTGAAGAGTAAGAACGAATTGCAAAACTTTTCACCTATGATGAGAAGAACACATATTTGATATTTAAAACCAATTATTATTATTCTTTTTTCAATATTCATTTAAAATGTAATTAATATATAATAGTATTAACAATAATAAAACATAAAACAATTCATTATATAAAAAATATATTACATTCAGTATAATAAAATACATTGAAGTCATTTATTTAAATAGGCAACGTTTTATTAGCTTAAGTCAACTTAATTTGAGTTATTTTGGTGTATCATTACAAACAAAATACAATTAAATATTTTGGCAACTAGCTGTAACAAAATGTTTTTTTTATATTTTATTTCATATAACATTTATTTTGTTATAAGTCATGTTTTAAAGACTTGGTTTCATTTTTAGTAATTGCTATTTAGTGGTTTTGTCAGGGTTGCGTCATTGCATGTCTGTAAATTGCAAATTAAATGGACACACGGTTTCAAATTCACCAATGGATAAAACCAAGAAAACTGCCATGAATTTTTTATTATTTATATTCATACTAATATGGTAAAACTTTACTCAAAAAGCAGCGATCTTCATAAGATACAAATTAGTTAGGTAAACTCAAAGAGCTACAGCAGTTCCTCAGTGACTCAGTTGACATCTAAATACATCTAAATAGAGTCATTTTCACCATGTGTTTAATTAAATATGATAATTTTATTATATGAACAATGTTACTACTACTATGTACTTTTAGTGTTTTTTACATCACTATTATTATTATTATTATTACTATTAGCACCTCAATGACAGACTGCAGCCGCTCATTCAGGGTCTGTTCACCTGCTCTTTCATTTAAGAGAAGGTCTGAATCGTGAACTCAAGAGTAATGTGATGTATTGTGATGTAAGGTAAAGCTGGTTTATTTTCGCACATTCGTTCATTTTTGACAGTCCCTTTATTGTTTACCATGGTAATTTGAATATTCGATCTGAAATATATGGAAGCCTGTTCCTGCCAATAAATAATAATAATAATAAAATAATAAAGTCAGAATTCTGAGTTATAGTCAAATTCCAAGTTATACAGTAAGAATTCTGAGTTATTGTCAAAATGTTAAAGTTCTAAAGTCACAATTCCAAGATGTATTAAAGTCAGAATTCTGAGTTAAAAACTCACAATTACAAGTTCTAAAGTCGCAATTCCGAGTTATAAAGTCAGAATTCTGAGTTATATTCTGAATTCTGACTTCATAATTCGAAATTGCGACTTTATATCTCGGAACTGCACCTTTATAACTCGGAATTCTGACTTTATAATTTTTTTTTTTTTTTTTTAAAGTGAATAGCAAGGGAAAGGGGCTTCCATAAAAAATAAGATTAAAGCTTGACTTCAAAATAACTGACTGTGAACAACGTTGTACTTTGATAGTCGTTTGGATGCTATAATGATTTCCTAATCTTACATTTATAATACTTTTGTGAAATGATATTGTAAAGGAGAATGTGCGAATATAAAACCGACTTTCCCTGAAAATGACTCAAATTAGATGCACAGCACTTCAATGGCAGACTGAAGACACACAGAGTCAGTTCACGCTATTTTCTTACACTCAGCAGAGGACCTGAACCATCAACTCAACTCAGGATGTATTGAGGTAAAGCTGATGTTATATTCGCACATTGGTTCATTTTAACGGTCCCTTTAGTGTTTACCACGCTAAATTAAATATTCGGTATTAGGGTTGACTAAATAAATGACTGTAAACATTGTTGTACTTTGAAAGTCATTTGATGTATATGAGTTCCCTATTCATAATTTTCTGAAATTAAGGATATATTATATATTATATTATTAAGGAGAATGTCTGAATGTGCGAATATAAAAGCAACTTATCGTCAAGGTGTGATGTGATGAGATGGGATGTGATTGTGATGTATTGTACAGTGCAAAGTCCAGTGAAGTTGTCCTCACCCGAGCAGCTCGAGCAGGAGGCTGTTGAGGCTGACCCCCGCAGCAGCTCTGGCCCGTAGCAGAACGAAGATCTGCGGGAACTTCAGCACCATACACACAAACAGAGTGCTGAAATTCGCCACATGAAGGCTCAGATTCCCGTCCATCTCTGTCTCCTCCAGAGTCCTGCGCCTTTAATCCAGCTCTGTGAATCTGATCCTGGCTGCTGGCACCGAAGAGTCCCAGCTGTTACCATCGGCACTTCCGCACACATCAGCGCGCGAGATTTGACCCTCTACAGCGCCCGTACAGCTCGACTGAGGGATGCTGCTACTACAATGCTTCTCTTATTTCTGAAGACAACAGGTCGTTATTTGAAAACAGGGCATCTTTATTGAACTTTCCTTCAGCTGAGGTAAATAAACAAATGTGGTGATAATGAAATATTCTGAAACTTATGTAAAACGCATAATTATACAGACAAAACATAACATATAGACTACTGTACGGGATTGGCAATTGGAAATCCTTTGCCTTGTCTCCTCATCTAAACATCATCTATATATATATATATATATATATATATACATACATATATACAAAAAGCTATTTCATAGATTTATTTATTTTAGACAGCACAATACTGTTTACCTCAGACGTGTTCTGAATATTACACTGCCTGACAAAAGTCTTGTTGTCGATCCCAGCTGTAAGATTAACAAATAATAACTTGACTTCTAGTTAATAATTTGGAGAAGTGGCAGAAGGTAGATTTTCCAACGAATCATCTGTTGAACCGCATCCCAATCATCACTAATACTGAAGAAGACCTATTGGAACCAGCATGGACCCAAGATTCTCTCAGAAATCAGTCAAAATTTAAGGAAAAATCATGGTTTGGGGTTACATTCAGTATGGGGGCGTGTGAGAGATCTGCAGAGTGGATGGAAACATCAACAGCCTGAGGAATCAAGACATTTGTGCTGCCCAATACATTACAAACCCTGGAGAGGACAAATTCTTCAGCAGGATAGCACTCCTTCTCATTCTTCAGCCTCCACATTAAAGTTCCTGAGAGCAAAGACGGACAAGGTGCTCCAAGATTGGTCAACCCAATTATTGAAAATTATTGAGCATGTCTGGGGTAAGATAAAGAAGGCATTGAAGATGAATCCAAATAATCTTGATGAACTCTGGGAGTCCTGCAAAAATGCTTTCTTTGCCATTCCAGATGACTTTATTAAGTGATTTGTCTTATATATAGTCATACACAATATTCATTTGTTTTCCACTGCACCGTGACTTTTTATTGTATTTACTGTACATTATATCTGTTAAGTGACAAAACTTTATCAAAGCAAAGTCAGACCTTACTGTCCAAATAAATCATTAAAAATCGATTCATCATCATATTTTATTTTGGCAAAATAAGCATAATCTAGAGGTTTTTGTCTTTCATATAAACCAGTTCTGATAACAAATCATTATCAACTGGAAGTCGAGTTATTATTTATTGTTCTTAAAACGTAGATAGGCGACAAAACTTTTGTCAGTTAGTGTATTTAAAATAACCCTGATTTTTCAGTCACACACAAATGAAAATTTTTAATCAAAATTCAATCAATTTCCTGTTCAATAATGTACACTTGACATCAGTGTTGTTTTACCTTCAACTTTAATTAGCACATTTAAAAAGTGCTTCACTTAAAGGTAAATAAAACAAAAAATCTTACATTTTTACTTTAATCATTAAAATATGCTCTACACACACACACACACACACACACACACACACACACACACACAAATTAACTAATAATATGAATGCCATGAAATACTGTTTTTTGTCTGCTTAAATGGGGGTTTGAGATATTATTCCCATCTGTCAATGTCAATAAATTCAAATAATAGACCAAGAAACAAATGAAACAAGCAGTCAGTAAAAATGACGAGCTCTCTTGGAGGAATGAAAATTGGAGTGTGCCTCTATTTATTCAATTTTAATAAGCAATTCACTGGGTTAAACAAATACTGTTACAACACAAAAATGATACATTTTAAAGCAACAAGTTTTATAACAACTTCATAATCAAAAGACAAGTTCATCTTTTTTATTTACTCTTCTGCCATTTCCTTCCTTTATTTAGAAAATGAACAAAAACAGACAAACTTTTCACCGAGCAGCTTTGCTGCGTCTCTGCTACCCTGTTCAATAGACCATCTCTCTTGCTTTTATTATTTGCAAATGCAAAGGCTTGCCAGTAATAAATAATACTATAAAATGTTCTGCAAGTACACAAAAAAGATTGAGAAACAACAACAAGGGAAAATGTACAAGGTTTGAGGGGTGAAAGGAGCAGAACGGGTGAGGGGCAAATTTAGCAAAATCTTGGATTCATACAGGACAGACAAAGCATCTATACATCCATACTAGCCAGATAACAAAGTTGATTTTATTATTCGTGTGTGTGTGTGTGTGTTTACAAAGTGTGTGTTTTTAAACAAGCAGGCATCGTTAATTACAGAGCACAAAGACTTAAGGCAGCTCAAATGTTCGCCTCAAAAAAGTGTAAGATTAGATCCTTAAAAACTGCAGTTTGCTCATGTTAATTCACAGACACAGAGTGCAGAAGAATTAGTTGTTGCATAATTCTGGCTGTTGGCGAAAGCCATCCTCGTATTATCACCCTCAGGAATGATGAACAGACGGCTACAGGAGTGATGTGATATTACTAACCCTTTGCTTTTTCATCGCACACTGAAATGTCAGTTATCCAGCGTTGCTGCGATTGTTGTGTAACTGATGCTCTGATTGATTGGTTTTGCTGGTATTTGAGTTGGACTGAACGGCTTTCTGCGTCTCCATCTTGTTTTTGTGGCTGTTTTTCGGCCACATACGTGCTCATGTTCCCTCGTCTGATTAAACCGAGGTCCTTCAAACATTTCAGACTGACTCATTTTGGTGAATGGAAAAGCCAAATGCTCTTTCTGAACACGGCCTGAGGGCTGAAAGACAGTTTGGCTGCTGAAACAGGCGCCTTTCTAGAAGATCCTTTGAAAGGCTCTTGGATTACAGTATTGCACTCAAGCTCTATGGTTTGTTATTTCAGTTCACTTTAACTCTTTGGGTCTCATCTGTCCTGCTCTAGCTTGCTGATGGAGGAAACTTCACTTCCCTCTAGTGGAGCAAGTTTGCCATATCCTCTTTTAATAAGCCACTGCCTCTTTTTTTCAGTAAGGTTGCCTATTAATATGAGTTGTTTGGGTGTATTTCAGTAATTTAATACCGGAATATCTTCTTTGATTTATTAAATGTCCACAAGAACTATCTATACTACATTTCCCCCCATTGTTTTGTTGGTATCATATTAAAATAGGTATTTTTTTGTGATTTACACTATTATTTCACAGATTGAGGCGAGTAATTTGTATTATTTTTATTCCACAAGGAAGGATTGGATTGATCAAAATGGCAATTAAAACGTATAATGGCACAAATGATTTCAGTTGAAATAAATTAATAATAAATTATGTTTAAAAGTAAATCAAAATAGAAAATGTTTATTTTAAATGAATATTTAACATTTTATTTTATTTAGCTTACTTTGGGCATGTTTTGGGAAAGATCTGGCAACCCAAAAATAGTAACATTTGAGATGATTATTAGCACTAGACAGCAAAACTAATATGATTTTAAGCAAATTTCAAAAGAATTTCAATGTGTTTTGTTGACACAATTGTACACAGTGTTTACCATAATTGCAATGACTATCTCTCCCATACAACATACACACACAGTGTCTCTCTGTTGTTGTCAAGGACAGCTTCACCACACACACACACACATACAGACACACACGTTTTTGCTGGTGTCATTGTCTTGTCTGCGTGGGACCGCAGACACTACAACAGTGTTGGGTTTCAGGGCTAAATCTGTCCCGGCCCAGTCTGTGCTGCTCCGGTTACAACAGCAAGGTCACATACACGCACACACACACATACACACACACACAAACAGGGAAGTTAAAAATAATAATATTAATAAAAACAGTCATATTTCATGTCTGTGCGATAAGCAGTAATGGTGTTTGGACAGTGTGTGATACAATATGAAGAGTGATTAGAGTGACATGCGACCTTAAATCGTCCTTCATGAAGTCTATCAATCTAAATTTAAAGCATCCTTAAAGAGCACATCATTGTGGAGGAAGAATGTACGAAATTGAGTCAAATTGTATCTGAGTGAATCATTTAATCAATAACAATATTTATATTTTAGAACCTCTGAATGTCATAGTTTTGACATTCATAAAGTCAAAAATTGTCATTGTAATTTGACATAATTATGTGGACTTAAAATGTGATTGTTTCCTAGCAATGCAACTCGCTTCTGGTTATATTATAATAGACACTTAGTTAATTCTATTTGAGATATTATTTTCCATAATTGCACTTTTATGTTCTGCATTATGACTTTATATCTTACAAATAACTGCAGATTTGTTTCATACAATTGTGACTATAATCAGGCATGTTTCTAAACTTTATTTCACCTTTGCATTGAGCTATTGTTACTCTGATGTAAAAACAGGCTTCTGTTTCACTCCAGGCTTAAATAAAATGTCATTTAATTTGAATGATTTCAGTTCAGAAGAAAAAAGACTAGAGTTTGAGATACTCAAATAATCCAAAATGTAAGAAATAAACCACTTTAAAAAAATGTGAGGTTATAGGCATCATAGGCAGGTAGATTTCTGTATCGGACATATAAGAAAATTACTTTTCAGAATTTTAAATTTTTTTTTTTTTTTTTTTTGGAAAATAAAATTTTGTTTAAGAGAAATGACAGTTCTCCGATTCTGAATTAGTGTTGTCAAAAATATTGATAATTATTAATACTGAAATATTTAAAATGATACAATCTTGCTTTTGGTTAGTATCGATACTGTCTTTGTTCTCTCTCACTCTCTTCTCGTCAGCCGGGAGATGAATAATTAATAATAATACTATATAATTAATAATAATATTTGAACACTTTTGTTTTCATCAGAAAGTTAGATAAAATTACACTAATTTAGCTTTTTTTGTCATTTATTTCCTTTTGGACTTAAAGAGCCCCTATTATGGGTTTTTGAAAATGAAATTCTTTGTAGTGTGTAACAGCTCTAAGTCAACTGAAATATCCAGCTAAAATCTGAAAGTGCACTGTTTTGAAAAATATTGATTCATCTATCAAATAGTAGATTCATAGTGGTTCGAATGAATCGCCACTGTAACAAT